AAACCCCAACTTTAAACTAAACACACATTTCACTCATGAGTAATTACAAAGCAGGCATTTCAAATCAGTGTTGCTCTAATGTTTTTAGAACAATTATTTAATTTTCAAGGTCCAATATCTGTCAAGTAAATCACCAATTTCCAGTTCATTCTTATTTAATATAAAAAATCTAATTAGCATAAAGCTATTTTACAGCTGCCTTTAAATTAAGCCATAGTCAAGAACATGCAGCACTTGGGATTTGCTTTGGCATCTCCAAATCAATTTCTTTTGTTCAAATATAACAGAGCAATACCAAAAGTTAGGTTTTATTTTGAAGTTTTAAGCTGAGCTTCAATATTCCAGATCTTAATGTGCAATGTATCTTCCTAAGGACAGGAGTTGGCTATAGAGGAGAGCAGAATAAAAGACATACATACTATTTTAACTTACTTCTGATTAAATATAAGAATTTTAAGAGTCACTAGATCAGCAATTAATACGTTTTTGTTAATAATCATTTTTTCTTGCATTAAGTAGCTAGTAGCAAATACAGATTTTTAAAGACCTTTAAACAGCTCATTTTTCTAGTAAGAATGGTATTTGCACTACAGATTTTTGAAACAAACAATTTGTTAACAAATTATTACATACTAAATTAAACAAGGTAAACGAGTCAAACAAAGGACCTAAGTCTGGCTGGGTTAAAGAGGACTGTTAAGAGTTTTGGTTGTAGAAGGTAACACACATGCACAGGAAATTAATGTGAGTCAACTCCCTGTATAGCTATCCTTATCTCAACTAGCAAAAACCCTTGTTCCTTCCTATTATTGCTTATACTCTCTCTTCAACAAAATTAGAGATAAGGGCAAAATAGTTTCTGCCAGGTATCAAGGGGGTGGGGAGAGAGGGAGGGGATGGAGTGGGTGGTAAGGGAGGGGATGGGGGCAGGGGGGAGAAGTGACCCAAGCCTTGTATGCACATATGAATAATAAAAAAATAAAAATTAAAAAAAAAGTTTTGGTTGTAGTGTCTTACACCCTTTGATAAACAAGGTGACTTACAATGCAGGCAGTGCATTGCAGCCTAATTTGAGTTGGATTAGCTTGGGTTACTGCCTTGCCTCAGATTGGTTCTGGTAGATTAGGTGGATCATTTCAATTTCCCTGAACCTTGGTTTAGACATTGTAGAATAGGGAAAATACTCTCATTGGGAATTAATGCAATGTTTGTGAAATAATCTCAAAGAATCTACACACACAATATAAAGACAATGATGAAAAGATTAAAATAAAGCCTAGAAATTTTATTGTTTTAATATGCATAAACTAACAGACTTTTCCCATAAATAAAAATCTTAGAATCCTGAGAATGCCTTTTTTGAGACTGAGGTTTGAATTCAGGGCTTCACAAAGCAGGTGCTCTACCATTTGAGCCACACCTCCAGTCCATTTTGCTCTCATTATTTTGGGGTCTCGTTTTGTTTTGGGGGTTTTTTTTTTGCTCTGGTTATTTTGGAGATGGAATCTCAAGAACTATTTGCCCAAGTTGGCCTAGAACCATGATCCTCCCGAACTCAGTCTCCCAAGTAGCTAGGATTATAGAAGTGAGCCACCAGCACCAGCTGAGAACATTCTTATATAAACTTATCATTTATTGGACATAAGATGGGAGACACTGTTTTGAGATTTTTATCTATAGATATTTGATGGTTATAATCATCTAACTGGATTATATTGAAAAATCATGAGAAATTAAAAAAAAATTTTTTGCAGTAATGTGTCTTGAACTCAGGTTTTATATCTTAAGCCACTCTACCAGACTTTTTTTTGTGAAGGGTTATTCGAGTTAGGGTTTCATGGACTATTTGACTAGACTTGCTAACCTCCTTAACTCTGCCTCCTGGAGTAGCTAGGATTATAGGTGTGAGCCACTGGTGCCCATCTTGATTGTTTATTGGATGGAATATTCCTTAAAATTCAGTTTACTATTTAAGCTTGGAATCTGAGATGAAAGACATAAGGAATGTATTAGCATAGGTTTTGGAGAATTTTTCTGTATCAAATATTGTTCAGGTTTTTCTGTTTGAAAATATGAGTATGATATAATACTAATAACATATACTATAATGTAGAATTCAGTATATGTAGTATATGTGCTATTGTACACATAATATACTAATATTCAGCCTCAGATAGTATGTTTTCACCCAAAATATACAATGAACCAAGCCAAATGTACCCAGTCAGAAGAATGTTTTATGTATTAATTTCTAAGAAAGTAAAGTAGATGGACTAATAGATCCTCTGCTTCTTATTCAGTGCTTGAGGGAAATAAGGATTGTCCCTCACCCCATTTCTGTGTAATAGCCTTGCAGAAAAGGAATGAGTGAAGACTTTGTGCTCTGATGGGCAGAGGAAAGAGTACTGTATAAGATCTGACCCCTCGATATAAGCCAGGCCTGCTGCAGTTGACATTACACTTTGGGATAACACTGTGACCCAATCCAAACAGTCTCTCTCTAGGGTGGGAGAGATGAAAATCAGAGACAAAACCGCTGATACCATATCCATTGTGAGTCAGGTCTATCCAGAGACTCCTGAAATGCAAGCCTCTACCAAAGCTAAGGGAATGGGGGAGGCAAAGGAACAAACACCAAACCTTTTCTACCCCCATCCCTACCACTACCACACACACATACCACCATTACTTCTTTTTCACTGCTAAAGTGCCTGGCTTAAGAGTGCTTAATGTAATAACTAGAAAGGTGGGCTAGAAAGAATACAAAGACTCAGAAGCAGCCCTGTGTTTTGTTAATTATTCTATAAATAAAAAATGAAAAAAACTGGTATGTGATAATACATAGCTACTCAATTAGCTAGTACTGTATTGTACTGTCAATCTCTGAACCACATACTACACCTTATTTGTACCAGCTTCTTATGTTCTAAACAAGAATACTGTTGAATGGGAACTTCTTTTTATTTTTATTTTATTTTGAGGCAGGGTCTTCTTTGTAGCCCAGGCTGGCCTGGAACTCACCTGTGTTGCCAGGCTGGTCTTGAACTTGCAATCCTCTTGCCTCTACCTCCTGAGTGCTGGGATTCTAGGTATGTGCCACCAAGCCCAGCTGGGAAGTTCTTTTAAAGATTTCAGTATATTCCTGTTTAAAAAGTTCTCAGTAGCCTCTGCTACATTAAAATAACTATGAAAACACATAAGATAAATATTTGACACTCATAACAGAGCCATTGTCAAAAATTAGAAGAGCTGGGTACCAGTGGCCCATGCCTGTAATCCTAGCTGCTTGGGAGGATCAGGAGGATTGCAGTTCAAGGCCAACCTAGGCAGAAAGTTAGTGAGATGCCATCTCAACCAATAGCTGGGTGTGGTGGCACATGCCTGTCATCCCAGCTATAGCAGGATGCATATAGGAGGATTGCAGTCCAGGTTGGCCCAGGCAAAAATTGAGATCCTATTTCCAAAATAACCAGAGAGAAAAAGGACTGGAGGCATGGCTCAAGTAATAGAGTGCCTACCTAACAAGCACAAAGCTTTGCCTGAGTTCAAACCCTCAGAACTGAAAAAAAAAAATCAGGCACATGCCCACCTAAAAATTAAACAACAAAACAAATAAAACCTTTTGCTTGGGCTGGTAGAGTGGCTCAGGCAATAAGAGTGCATGCCTAGCAAGCGTGAGGCACTGAGTTCAAACCCCAGAGCAGCAAAAAACAAACAAAAACTCTTATGTTGTCTAGATTAAAAAAAAGAAAGAAGATTTGTATCAACTAAGAAAAATAGGGCAGCCATACTTCCAAGTACAGTTGTTGCTTTCCAAGGCAGCTGGAATGCTGGGCCCACCGTCTCTACATCAGGGAATGTGGCAATGTCTAAAGACAATTTTAGTTGTCATTATGGGTAGAAGACGCTACTGGCATCTTGTGGATGGAGGCCAGGGATGCTGCTAAACATCCTATGAGGCAAAGGACAGTTCCCCATAACAAAGAATCATCTGGCCCAAAATGTCAAGGGTACCGAAGTTGAGAAATCCAGTGCTAAATCATCAAGACCTCTTCCTATATCCTTGCAAAAATTACAATTTCTGGAAAACTGATAAGGCTAATGATAGCACAAGCAAAAATGTGGAAGATTGTGTAAGTCTTTGAGCAGTTCTCAATGAACAGTAGGCATTAGACTAGAAGCTAAAATCAGTCAGTCATACATCTGTAGACCTGAATGGAAATTCAACTATCTTCCAAACAAATAGTAAATGAGACCAAAAGCTTTTCCCACAGTGGTTAGATAGCTGTCCTAAAATGTAATAGGAATATATCCTCAGATATATACAGAGGTTTAAAAAACACACCCTCCATTGTGTGTGGTGGCACAGACCTGAAATTCCAGGCAGGAGAATCTCAAATTCTACGACAGCTTGGGTTACATAGTTGAGTTCAAGGTCAGCCTGGGCTATATTGGGGGATCCTATCTTAAAACAAACAATAACAAAAAGACATACCATTTATATACTCTTCCTAGAAAAATAAAACTACTTGAAACCTAACTCCAGTTAGCTATGAAGAGACTCAAAATAAGAACTAAAGAATAGAGGAGGCTGAAAATAGAACTCATTAGTAGAATGTTTGGCCAGGAAGGAAGGAAGGGAGGGGAAAGGAAAGAGTTAAGTGCTGTTTTCTCCTCTGTGACCTTTTAGTGTTTTTATTTTTCCTCTTTTGGACTTCTTAGAAGTTTTATCATGCAGGTCTCTATTTTTAAGATGGTGAGATGGTATATTTATTTCTAAAAGATTCTGATAGTTATCATTCAGAAGGAGTAAGTTGGTGTATATGAATGTAGATGTATTTCAATAGATGAGCATTTGAGATATTCACATATTTTTGAGTTACAATGATATTCCCCAGGATGGCTTTCCCCTGCCCCTTTGCAAACAAAGTATCTGCCATTCTTAATATAAGTAGTACATGCTTTCTTAAAGAGCAAATTTTTAAGTGTGTTTATTTAGTATGTTATTTAAATATCATGAAGATAGGTTTTTCTCTATAACAAGGGTTGTGAATAAAAAATATAATATATATATAGTGTAAATGAATCTCAATTTACATAAATACAAAATTCCTAGACCATGTCTTTTAGTGAATGAGATTTATCTTTAGATTTCCCTTTTTCACTTTTTTGTCTTTCTTCTGCTTGTTTTTCAACATAATCTTTAAGAAGATGGTCCAGCTGTGGTTCACACTGGCTTGCATGTTGCAATCCATCTTCCCTTCCTTAGAAAGATATAAAACATGAGACAATTATCTTTCATTTGATGGCAAGCTCTGTATAGAGCTATCCCTGCCCAACCACCCAAACATTAATCCCCCAAAAGTCAGTTTTAATAAACACACTTTGATTTTACCTTGACAGTGTTGAATCACACGCCCCCACAGTCGATTTTTTCTCAAACAGGCTAAATTTCCCACAATCAACAAGTGCCTTCTTCCTCTGGTCAATGCAACATTCATTCGTTTTTCTGAATCAATAAATCCTACTTGTCTTGTCCTCACGCAAGACAGAATAATGATCTCCTTTTCAGCTCCCTGGAAAGCATCTACTGTGGACACCTGCACAGTTTTCAAATCGGGATGGTCAAAGTCCACTGCACTAAGTAGATGACAAAACTGTAGAGAAGAGAAGAGAAGACAGGTCATGCGGTGCAGGTATCATGAGGAGCTTAAAGTCTCTCAGCCGCTCACAGCATTTGCCTTAACTAACAGAAGACCATTTTTATTTCTCTTTTATGACTCACATGGACTTGGCTAGTTTCTAAAATAACAGATAAAAGACAAAATGACAATATTAACTATGAAAAAAATCAAAAGTGAAGATTCAGCTATTGTAAGAGAACTCATTAGTAGTATATGCTAGTTTGAGCTGATAAGTAAAAGAAAAAGTGCTAAAAGAAAAATACACTTCAAAGTAATTGGCTCATGTGTACATTAATATCTGATATATATCCTTGAATTACTGATAAAATGTAATAATAACAAAAGAACATTTTGGAAAACAGATTCAATTCCATCTGTCCCAAAACACAGAGCTTACACCATATTTTATTCCTCTAATTCGTTTATTTGCATTTTTCCCCCAACAGCTGTAAACTGAATTTAATTAAACCTTGTTAGGTTTACATTTAATTATGCAGAAAAAAATCCAGGCCAGAAAAAAAAAATCAGAACTTTCTTTGTTAGTATATAAATTATAATCCCCAAGGTTTTCAAGCACCATACCAAACTATTACAAATATAATATCAAACACTGTAATATATAATTATGATATTTAATATGTGAGAAATACCATAACATGTAACACAAACCTTATGCATCTGGGATTTGTATAACGTTATCACTCCAATCATAGAGCCCGCTATTCCACTTGCCATCAGCGATTGAATCAGCTTGAGTGCAAAAGCAGCTTCTGCCATGTTATGAAAGCTGCTATCTCTTTCAATCTGGAATAAGAAACAGATCCTAAATTATTTTTCCCAGAAAGGCATGGAAAGGCTGAGTAAAATCATACAAACAACAACAATAAAATTAAGCCAAGAAATTAAGTGCTGACTCCTGTCGACACTAATGTCATTTACCTGCTCCAGTCCTTTAACGTTGTAGAAACACAGGGTGGGTAGCCACTCCAATAAAGGGCTCCTGTCCGTTTCTGAAATGCCGTTCATGAGGTTTCCCTCATAAAACAGATCATTAGCAATAGCGCTGATGGCAGGGTGACAACGGTACTGGGTTCTCAATAGAACTGGCTTGTGACCCTAAGAAATCCAAATGAGAAAAATGAGAAACTAAAACATTGCATTTTGTTTCTAGGGAAAGAAAAATGATAATATTTAAAATTTTTGTATATTGCTATATCATGGTGTTAAGAGATGAACTACAATACACAACAAACTGAAAATATTTTAAAGAAGATATAAAAATATGTCTATGGTAAACCACCACACTATAAAATTACAAAATATAGGGCTGGAAAAGCCCAGGTATAGAGCGCCTGCCTAACAAGCACGAGGCCCTGAGTTCAAACCCCAGCACCACCCAAAAACAAAAGAATCAATTCAATTACAAAATATTAAAAAATCAAATTTTAGACTTGGTGCCTAATATTACACTTTTATAATCTATCTGGCGTTGGCCTAATACTACATAAAAGAGATCTTTTTAAAAAATTGGAAAGTATTATTGATAATTTATTTATTAACTTTGGGTAAAACCACTTTTTCATTCTGAATCTTCAAAATACAAATTTCATAAGTGCATCATAATATCCAATTCTCATCCACTTCAGCAATCTCTAGGAATACATTCTTAACTTGCAAAAAGTTCTGCTGCATTATTATTTTTGATAGCTGCAAAGAACTCTAATAATACATATATAGTTAAATGTAAGACTGATGACAACAAAGACACAATATCATCTATCAGAGAAAAAACAGGAAAAGAATTCAATCCTCACAACTCTGTGGGGCATAGAGTTGTCTAAGTTGATAAGTCTAAGTCAATAGGCATGTGAAACCTCTGACAAAAAGCATCAAATACAACAGTGTTCCAAAGGATCAAACAACATAAATGGTCCCTGTTAGAGAAGTGTCTAGATTATGGCATATCCCCACAGCATAATAATTAATAATTAAAAATATTTATGACAGCAAGCAAGTCATGGTGGTGCAAGTTTGTAATCCCAGCTACTCAGGATATGGAGGCAGGAAGATTATGAGTCTGAGGTTAGCCCAGGCAAAGTTAGTAACCCCCTGTCTCAAAAATAAAGTACCAACAAAGGAGCTGGGGCAGTGGCTCAAGTGATAGAGTGCTTGCCCAGTATGTGTGAGGCCCAGACTTCAAACCCCAGTACGATTAAAAAGAAAACCCTCAATGCAATCCAAAACTCAATGTAAGTGGGAACTTCTGAATTAAGAAGGTAAAATAAAGCTGCCTTGAAGAATACACTCCTCCCTAATATCTAAAGGAACAACAGCAAAGAAAGAAATTCAGCAGTAATGCAACAAAGAAAGCTTTGTAGCCAACCCAATCCTATAAACTTTTTTTTTTTTTTTTTGGTGGTAATGGGGTTTGAACTCAGGGTCTCATGCTTGCTAAGCAGGTTTTCTACCACTTGAGCCATGTCCTCAGCACTTTTCTTTTCTCTTTTTGGTGGTACTGGGGTTTGAACTCAGGTCTCACACATGTTAGGCAGGTGCTAACTACCACTTGTGCCACTCCACCAGCTCCCAGCACTTTTTCTTTAGTGATTTTTCAAATACAGTCTTGTGTTTTTGCTTGGAACAATCTGGACCATGGTCCTCCTATTTATGTTTCCCTCTTGGCTGGGATGGCAGGCAGGTATCACCACATCTTTGGTTTGTCAGGCTGGCCTTGAATCTCAGTCCTCCTAATAATCTCTGCCTTTTGAGTATCTAGGATTACAGGCATAAGCCACTACAACCTGGGGCCCCTTCTCTCTTAAGGGATTTCAGGGACGAGCAGAAATCAGTACAGTGAAAATTCTAAGCTCTCTAGAAGTCATATAATGGAAATGGCTCTTAAAAAGAATAACGAAATAGGGGAAGCGAACTGGGTAGTTTTTGATGGAAGTGAAGGAACACACATTGAATTCTTGGGACATCTGGAGTCCAAGACTATCCCTCTTCTGGAAAAGAAAGAAGACACTACCTCCTACTGTGTGTAGCAAATCCTAGTACAGTGTATGTAGTAAAACCTTAGCTATGAGAGTGCCCACATAAGCTAATAGAGATAGCCCATATTCTTGATCTAGTTCTATTCCAGCCCAACCTCTAACTCCCTCCCCTGCCACTGTACATTCAGGGTACTGAAAAAATATAGAGAACACAGGATGCAAATCTGATAGAGTTGCCCGTGTGTGAATATCAGGAAATGAAATAGGAATAGAACTATGCAAACATACCATAGCCTCTCCGCTCAAATTAATAAAATAAATACAATGCAAAAGATATTGTCTTTTAGTCAGTTTTGTGCTGCTATAAAGACCTCCTGACACTAGATAATTTATAATGAACAGAAATTAATTTCTCACAGTTCTGGAGATTAGCAAGTCCCAAAAACAAGGAACAGTATCTGGGGAGGGGCTTCTTATTGTATTATTTCACCAAAAAAGGCAAGAAGGTAAAGGGCTGGAGGAATGTGGGAAGGAAGGGGGGCAAAAGAGGGCCAAACCTATCCTTTTATAATGAATCCACACATGCAATAACAGCATTAATCCACTCATAAGGGCAGAACCTTCATGACCTAAACAATTCTCCCAAAACCTATATACTGGGGATCAAATTTCCAACACATGAATTTTGGGGAACACATCCAAACCACAGCAGATAGGCATAGAACTTAACAGAGACAAAATATAATCAAGGAACAGAAGAAGACCCACAAGTGTTCAAGCATTAGTATTCAATCAATACATAATCTAGTAAAACCAAATCTCAAAAATGAGAAGATAAAAAGATAACCAAATTAAGAGAAATTCTGACCCCAAAGACACAAATTGATTTCAAAACAATATCACTGAAGAGCTAATTAACTAAAAGCAGCCAATAGCAAACAAGAATTTCTTCACAAAGGTAACTATAACTCAACTCAAATTCAATTGTGGAGTCTAATAATACTCTAATGCTTTAGGAATGTAATATACTTTGCATGTTCTTTTTCCTGCTTAAAAAAAGAAAAGAAAAACTCAATGGAACTTGAAACTCAAATACAAGGAGAAAAGAAATAAAATTTCTGACATGAAAGGCTCCATAGATAATACAGATGAAATTAGAGTAATACAAATAGCATGAAGATGTGAGTTCAAACCCCAGTTCCACCAAAAAAAAAAAGAAGTAGAAGAATTTGACTTTTTCAGACCCTGGCAAATACTTCCCCAGACCCTATCTCAAAGATACCCAATATAAAAAAGGGCTGATGAAGTAGCTCAAGATCTAAAGTGCTTGCAAAGCAAGCATGAGGTCCTGAGTTCAAAGTCCAGTACCTCCAAAAAAAAAAAAGCAACAGTCATTTTCAAACATAAAAAGAACTCTAAATGCTAACTAGCTTGATTTAATCATTCCATAATGTAAACATATATGAAAATATCACATTGTGCCTATAAATATGTGCCAATATTACCTGTTGATTAAAATCTTTTAAATAAATAAAGAGAACTTAGAATAGCAGGCATCTATGAGACATTTTTGAAAAAAAAATAGATGATAAAAGTCCAAGGCACTAGGATGAACAAAGAAGCTAAGTACTGATTCTACTTAAATATAGAACTGATTCTTAATGTATAAATTAGGATTGTAGAACAAAAGCTAAATGTTATACACCCAGGGTACAAAAATTATAATGTAACTAACAAAAAAAAGGAACACTAGAGATGATAAAACGGTGGGAAAGAAATATGAAGCATTTAATATCTCTACCTTTTAAAGCAGAGAAATCAATCTATGCAGTCTAAAACTTCTTGTTAAAGGGATCATTCAGGAAATAATCTCTTATGAATTAAGAAACATGTATTTCTGGTTTAACAACTCCTTTAATTTCACTTGGATTTTCTTCTTCTGTTAAGAAAGTATAGCTTAAGGATTGGGAATATAGCTCAGTGGTAGAGCACTTGTCTAGCATGTACAAGGCCCTGGGTTCCACACCCAGGGTTGTAAAAACAAACAAACAAAAAGAACAGATTGTTGAGTCCAAACAGCAAAGAAACTTATTAGATACAATTTAAACTAGCAAAAATCATTACGTTTTTCTTTGCAACATTTTCACAATTCTTTTGATTTGAATATTTTAATCTTTTGCTTATAAAAATAGTTTGATTTAGATTATTACATAAAATTAATAGTAATAATGAATAATTAAGCAAATTGTGGTATGTACAGAGAATGGGATATTATTCAGCCATAAAAAGTGAAAGTCATATAGACCAATGGAATGAATAGAGGACCGAGAAATATAACCTCCCATATGCAGTCAATTGATTTTCAACAAGGATACCAAGAAAAATCAATGGGGAAAGGACCATCTTTTAAACATATAGCTCTGGATATCTAGCTGCAAAAGAAGGAAGTTGGTTTTCTATTGTATACAGTAAACAAAAATTAACTCAAAGCAGATCAAACATCTAAATGCAAGAGCTAAAATTATAAAAGTCCTAGAAGAAAACATTGGGCAAAATCTTCATGATAAAGGATGTGGCAAAAAAAGTGTAGGTGTAGACACCAAAAGCACACAACTCAGAAAATAGAGAGCAGGATCTCACAGAAATCATGAACTTTTGTGCATTATAGGATACTGCCAAGACAGTGAAGGCTGGGGTATAGCTAAGTGTTAAAGCATTTGCCTTGCACATACAAGGCCCTGGATTTGATTCTCAGTACCACACATACACATACACACAAAATAAAAAAGAAAGAAAGGAAGAAAGAGAAGCAAAAAAAAGGACAACCTATAGAATGGAAAAAAATATTTGTAATCATAATATATATGATAATGATTTATTATCTATAATATAGAAAGAACTCCTATACTTTAACAACAAAAATAAAGCTAATTAAAAAATGGGCAAAGAACTTAAACAGGCATTTCTTCAAAAACGATATACCTTGAAAACAGTATGCTAAGTAAATAAGTCAGACATAAAATGACAAATATTGTATAGCTCCATTTATATGAGGCAACTATAATAGGCAAATATGTCTGTACCAAAAGTAGGCTAAGGGTTACCAGATGCAGGTGAGGGAAAAAGTAGGGATTATTATTTGACAAGTACAAAGTTTCTGTTTAGGATGATTAAAAACAAGTTGTGGAAACAGACAGGTAATGCTTGTAAAACATTGCAAATGTACTTTAGGAAAAAAAAATAATAAAGTATTGATCTGTAACACAGTGAACCTTGAAAGCACTGTGCTAAGTGAAGGAAGCCAGGTGCAAAAGGTCACATAGTATATGACTCCATTTAGATGAAAAAATCCAGAAAAGATAAACTCAGATGAGAACAGACTGTTGGTTGCTAGGGGCAGGGAGAGGAGAGTATGGGAATCACTACTAAGTGGGTATAAGGTTTCATTCTGGGGAAATTAAAATAATCTGCAACTAGGCAGAGGTAACAGTTGCACAGCATTGTGACTGTATTGGATATACTGAATTATTCACTTTAAATGGTTAATATGTTACTTGAATTCCATCTCCATTTTAAAATATGTTAATTAATCTTCCAAATATCTAAAAATGTGAAGTAGAGCTCCACAGGAATAATGGAAGCATTACAGTTTTCTTAGCTTTTAAGGCAAAAGGAATATATTTACTACCCACTATTGAAATACATAGGGAAAAGGTTCTTTTTATAAAGACATGCTAAAATTGTAGTATTCTAGTTATCCTTAAGATGAGTACTTTCTAAATAGCTCCAATTATAAACTGTTTAAGAACAAGGGCAGGCCTTTGTTCTCCATCAGCCCACACAATGTACAATCTACAAATGATACTTGTATAAGTATTTAGCAGTGTGTACCATTAAGCAAAGTCGGTCAAAAAGAGTTTGCTCCAATCCATTTTCATGAGCTGCATCAGAACCCTGAATAGTAGGAGGCAGCTGTTTGGGGTCTCCAACGAGAATCAGTTTTTCACACTCAAACCTAAAAAAAAGAATTTCAAAAATTAATCTAAGCAGTGAAAAAAATGGCATATTGACATCATTTATTGTACTTTCAAACATATATTCCAACAATTTGAATCCCAAGAAGTGTCCTGAGGCTTAACAGGACACTTTAATATGCTAATAAGCATATTAAAGCCTTTGAAATGTTATGCATTAAGGAATCTTTCACACAACTTAATTTTTTCCACATGAAACAAACTAAATGCCCCTTTCTTCTTGAAAGAATTAGTATTTCACAGAAAACATTTGGGAAACACATATTTTTAATCCATAACCTCTTAGAAGCTTTCTTTTATTGGCTTAAACTCTTGTTTTAGAGATGAGATGAATTAGACTCAGGGACTAAATGTCTTTTTAAATAGGAGTAAGAAATAGTAGGAAAGTTTATAGACAAACCTATATTCAAAGCTCAACTTCATTATATTCTATGGACACAACAAGTTATTTAGTCTATCCAGGCTTCAGTGTTCTTATCAGTAACCTGGAGGTAATAACACTTTCCATGGCTATTGTAAGGATTACATGGGTTTTGTTTGGATTTTGGAGACTGTATATGGAAACAAATGCCTTCTGTTAGGTGTGCTTGAGACAAACTTTCCCAATACAGCTAAGGCAGACACTGAAAAAACTGTGTTGCCCAGTGTAGACAGGAAGATACTACTTCACCAAGGCTGGCCTTAAACACACTATGAGTCCCAGGGCAGCCTTGAACTCAAATTGTGGCCCAGGCCTGTCTTCAACTATCTGGCAGCTCAGGTTGCCCTTGAACTCACAATGATGCCTAGTTCTTTTGTAAATCAACTCCATGTGGGTGGCCTTAAACTCACATGGATGAACAGCCATCCTTAAATGGACAAGGCTGGTGTTGAACACACTGTGGCATACAGGCTGCCCATGAACTACACTCACACCCTGGCTGACCAGAACTTACTGTGTATACATGACAGCAGTCCAGGGGTTCATCTTACTCTGAGGTCCAGCCAACAGAGGAATCAATGGGATTTGCTGGCTGATACTGAATTCAATATAGTTCTTCATCTGTGTAAAGGGCAAAATATTTTCTATATCATAGGATATTTTAAGAAATTAGATGATTTAATGCAGAATGGTTCATTATATTGATTAATATTTGATATTTCTGGAAGTTGCTATTTACTAATGCTAATAAAGTAGGTAATATTTAGCATACATTGAACATATCCATGTTTGTGTGTGTGTATGTTTGTGTGTGTTTTCAAAGAGCCAGAGAGACAGAAATGGAGAATTTAATCCATTGATTACTGGTGTTGAATGTTTCATGTCCATCTAAGGCAGCATCCTATGGTGGCTGAAAATGTACTTCTGAGATGTGAAGTGAATTTTTCAAGGTAAACCTACAACTAGTGGCTGAAGGAATTCTAAATAACTTGAGGTGTTTTACACTATCAGGGGTCAATTCACCTATACCCAAATTCTAATCATGGCATATGAGTTTTTTATAAATCATAGAAATTTTATCCCAATTCAATTGTGTACAATTTGGTTCAAGAAAAGTGAACAAGTACTTGACAGAGAACAATAATCTTCCTGCTAGAAGGTAGCACCCTGGAAATGCCATCCATGTTGCTGTAGGCTGAAGGTGGCGGGGCCACTGTGCTAGTGCTTATGCAGGGTATCCAATCAAAAAATTCTTTCTTATGATGTCACAATGTGTAGCAACCCTGGAACTCTGAAAGCTCTGAGAAGCTCTTGCTGGCCAGTGGCTCTGTCAGAGTAGTCAGAAAGGAAGGAAACCTGGAGGACTCTGTCCCTGTGGTGTGGGGAAGACATCTCTGGTAAGTTGAACATTGGGAAGCTGGGCAAGGAGAGATGTATACATGGCCACTCAGCACAGCAGTCAAAGGATTCTACTCTTTCCATCCAGCCTACACTGCAGAGACCCAGGGAGTTAGACGGTGGCCACAGGTGTCTAAGCTGGTTGTTGGAATTTTGTTCTGCCTACAGATACTAAGCGACAACTGACCTAAATCTCTCTCACAGCAAATAGTCATCAAATAGGCCCAGACCTAGGCTGCCACCACATTACTGATATCAGTGGTAGAAGGGTATTTCAGGAAGAGGTGGTTTGTTTGGTTTTTCAGTCTGGAGATTGAAACAATGTCTTCAGTTAATCATGTTTCAAACATATTCTCCCAATATATTCAGGCAAACTTGAACTGAATATGTAGCCAACTCTGAATATCAACATACTGCTTCACCATGGCTGACCTTAAACATACTACGTGGCCCAGGCCAGCCTTGAAATAACTGTGCAACCAAGGGCCTTCCAAAACTCACTGATAGCGCAGATAGGACTTAAACCCATAGCAAGGCCTACTTATCCTTTAAATCTCACTTGTCCTGGGTGGCCTTGAACTCACTGTGGCATACAGGCTGCCCTTGAACTACACTCACACCCTGGCTGACTGGAACTCACTGTGTTTAGTACACAGTAAGTGCTATATTACTCCTAGGTCCTCCACTCCAGGCCTTACTGATTCTCTGCCTCTGACCCCTGGGTATAAAGTGACCAAATCATCCTGGTTTGCCCAGGACTGCTCAGTTTAAAAGACCCATGGTCCAGGAACCTCCCAAGTCCCTAGCAAACCCTGACAGTTGGTACCCGACTCCCTCATTAACTGGGGACCAAGAAAGGCTTGCTGAGTCCTAATCTGGTTCTTTTTCCACTATGTGTAGAACTCCTCAATAAGAAATGCTTTCTTTTCTTTTCTTTTTTATTGTGCTGAGGCTTAAACCTAGGGCCTCACACATGCTAAATATACTCTCTATCACTGAACTACTTTCCCAGCCCCAAGAGGTATTTTAAAAGCACAATTTTCATGGCTAGCACGGCCATGAAAATTTCATAATCTTCTAAATTTTAGGAGACAAACTTTCATTTTCAAATTGTTTTATTTATATACCTTATATAACCTAAAAATGTTTTCAGAATATAAACACTCAAATTATATCAAAGAAAGGGGACTAGGGCTGGAGATGTGACTCTAATGGTTGAGTGCCTGCCTAGTAAGTGCAAGGTCCTGAGTTTAAAGCCCAGTGCCGCCAAAAGAAAACAAAGGGAGGGGAGGGACTGGAGGACATTCCTCAGTGGAGCTAGGTTTTCAATATATGATTAGAGAGGAACTGTTAACCTAGTTCAGAAATCTGCAAAGTTCTACTAGGATCCTAGCACAGTACTCTTACGACTAAGGATTATCTGAGTCAAATGTCTAAACTGTAATCTAACAAAATTTTGATTCATTTATTTCAAAAAAATTCCCACTGTATTATTTTCAAAAATCACTTTGGTACTTGAATTGCTAAAAAATTTGGCAAAAGTCTATGAAGAGACTGAACTCAAGAGATGTTTGAAAAGATTTTGACATGGGAGTGCTCTTGAGAAAAGAATCTTTTAGGTTACCTTGCAATGGGAAGGAGAGAGGCAGGTTCAGTCATTTGACTACACTCATCCAGCACTACCACAGGGAATTTAAGGTCATTCATGCACGGAAATGGGCAGGCTGCACATGTAACACCAACAACTCGAACCTGTATTGAAACAAAAATGTTTTTAGCTGACAACTGTTAAAATAAGAGATGATATCTATCAAAAACTTAAAATTAGAATTAAGAAATAAAATTAGAAATAAAACTAGTCCTCATTTAGTTCTGGAAAATTAGAAATCATTGGTCACTTTATCTCTACATTTTCATTATTCTCACATACAAAATGGAAATCACAGTCTATAGGCTACTTAGTCTACAAGCTCATTATTAAAAACAAAAGGCACATTTTGATATTTAGAAGGAGTATATTATAATATCAATGACTTAGAAAATCTCAAGGATGACATATTTTCTCTTCCAGCTGAGCTTGAATACATTATATCAACACAGACCAAAATCCTCCACAAAGAGCACTGATACACTAATGAGCTGTCCTTTGCTTAGCCTTCAAGTACACTAGTACTTTGATTTACTTAGAAGGTAGCCTCACATGATAGTACACACTTAGAATCACAGTACTCAGGAGGAATGTGAGTTCAAAGTTCAAGGGCAGCCTGGGCTAGAGTAAGAAAAAAAAAAAAAACACAAGCATCTGGGTGACAGTGGCTCACATCTGTGATCCTAGCTACCTGGGAGTCCAGATTAGGAAGACCGAGGTTCAAGGCCAATCTGGACAAATAGTTCATGAGAACCCATCTCCAAAACAGAGCAAAATGGACTGGAGTGTAGCTTAAGCGGTAGAGCATCTGATTTGAAAGTGTGAAGCCCACCAATTAAACATCAACAAAAAAAAGATTTTTTTTTTACTATTGCTTGGATAATCCCTACTTACAGTAAATTTCAAATGTACTTGTAGCCTTTAGCATATTAGAATCTTACAAGCTTTAAATATTATCACAAAATGGCATTATTTTCAAGGTAAAAAGCCAGAAAGGTCAATATTTAATCTCTATAATTAAATATAGCGATAGAAAGTCTATGAATGTTGGAAATTGGATGTGGTCATTGGCATAGTAGCCTACAAGCTATACATATGCGCACACACACACTTGTGTGTACATGCACAAATATGTGTATACACACATATACATACACATATTCCCTGCCAATATCTGAAGTATAATTACACTTCCTAATAGCAAGGGTAATCCATGTGATCTGATCATCTCTTTTTCAATGAATGTAATTGACAAAAATGTGCTTTACAAGTTAAATATTGCATTCGCAGATCCTGTAAAACAAGAAAATATTATAAAGACCTTATTTTCCTAATAATAAATAATGTTCATCACATATAAAAACACTATATCAATAAGGTATTCCTTCTTTCATTACAAACAAAGTCAACCTTAAGGCAAAAGAATCCATGAGTTCTAGGCTGGCTTGAGCTACATAGCATGACCCTGTCTTAAAAAAAACAAAACAACAAAAAATCACATTTACATTAAAATTTTCACAATGTTCAAACATCCAGTTCTTTAAAAATATTCAGTCCTTGCAGCTTACATAGTAGTCTTTGTACTACTCAGAAATATCATTTATTATTGTATTATTTATTTATTATCTATTATTTTCTGGTAACAATATCTGACAAAAACAATCTATGAATGAGAATCTTAAATTTATAAATCAAGAAGCATTTTTTAATTGACAGAAATACCAAATACAAAAATCTAAAAAAGTTTTTTCTTTACAGAATTATATTATTGGCCAGGTGTATGTGGCTTATACCTGTAATGCTAGCTACTTAGGAGATAGAGATCTGGAGGTTTGTGGTTTGAAGCCAGCCCAGGCAAATAGTTCCTGAGACCCTATCTCGAAAACACCCAACAAACACACAAAAAGAATTAACTGGGCACCGGTGGTTCACACCAGTCATCCTAGCTACTCACAAGGCAAATATCAGGAGGATTGTGGTTCAAAATCAGCCAGGGCAAATAGTCCATGAAACCCTGTCTCAAAAAAACCCATCACAAAAAAAAGGCTGGTGGAGTGGCTCAAATGGTAGAGCACTTGCCTAGCAAGCATGAAGCCCTGAGTTTAAACTTCAATACTGTCAAAAAAAAAATTATATAATTTTTATCTTTTAATTCATTATTACAATGCTGAGACTCCTAATAGTAGAAGAGATTTTACTATTATTGACCTAGAAATTAGTAATTAACTATAAAGGGTTTTAAAAACTGGTTTTACTATAAAGACATGTCACACTAAAAATGGGTCAGGTCTCCTAGCTTCACTGGATGGGGTATTTATTAGCAAACAGTTTTTTAAAAATATTTCCTCTAAAACAGTTTTCATTTGTGAATAGGTAATATTAATGAGCAACAGATTATCTTAGTTGGGCTTTTGTTTAGAAAATTATTTTTAAAAAATAGCAGTTTTTCCTTTATATTGTTATGTCAGGTAAGTGAGTCAGTTGGACATAAATTACTCATTTGTATTCATCGTAAACTCAGCCCTTGGTTGAGGAGAAGGCAGTACATAGTCAGCTCTATAATTCAGATCATAGAAAGTTAGTCTCAAGTCCTCTGAATGTGCTTGTAGAACCAAAATCTGTGGTGTATTGGTTATTATTTCCAATTTCTCCCTGCCTGTGAGATTACTACATATCTTTGCCAAGTAACTTTGCAGTACTTCCACCACAGAGGTAAGCGGAGGATGTTTCTGTGTCTCCCTGATGTTAGGCTTGGCTGGGTGACCTGTTACAGCAAACAGAATGTTAGCGGATATAATATGAATGGAAGCTTTGAATATACTTGTACTTGTGCCATCCGTCAGGACAAGATCATGCTATTGGAAATTGTTCTGAGGATGAGACTTGACCCATAGCATAAAGCTGAGCCACACAAGTTGACTGTCACAAGTTACTGTCTTAAAGCACTGAAGTTTTACTGCTCTGTAACATTATGTCAGCAACAGCTGACCAATGCACAGTTGACCAACCACGCAAGTTGGTTTCCCCAACTCTCTTGCGGAAAGGGACCAATGTCCACATAGTCTAAGAAGCCAATAATTTTCTTTTCTCCACCTGCCTTTCTTTTCCCAATGCTTTCCTTTCATAGGAGGAAGCTGGGTTTTTTTTTGGTTTTTTTTTTCCCCTCCTACCAGCTGAAGCCCAGGCTGCCCTGGATTAGAACTTGATCAAAGAGATGATGCTTCTTGGTGCAGCCTGGGATTCTGTGTGGCCAGTTGTGGCTCCCGGTGCATGAAAGCAAGTGTCTGTGCTGCCTCAATTCCCAGACTCAGACCCTGAAAGTCTTGGTTTTCTAGGAAAGCATTAAAGACAAATTTCACTTTGATATTTTGCTCAGGGTTAAAACTTTTCTTTGTCTATGTCTCCTAGAATAAAACTAATTTCACTGAGCTTGCCCAGAATCTCTTTCAAGCAATTCACTTTCTTCTTTAAACCTTAAAAAGATATACAATAGGGAGCAGGCATGATGAGTAGGATCTGTTCACGAATTTGAAGAAGGGTTTATAGTAAACATAAAATATGCACACACCTAGTTGAACCTAAACTATCACAGCAGTTAGTTTTATAAATGAAAATATTCTTCTATCACTAGCAATAAAGGGGATCTGAATAATATATACATGTAAATTAAGAAACAAATTGAAGCTATTTCCCCTTACCTGCTTCAGTAGGGTCCTGTTGGTCCCCAGTTTATGCTGATCAATACTTTTTCTCACATACACTCTTTCCACAGGAGTCAGGTCTTCCTTCATTAGTGCATGTAGTTCTTTTAATTGTTCATTTTCATTTTCTGAGCCTGCATGCAAACTAAAAAAAGAATTACATAAAATAATACTACCCTTTATTTTGTTTTGCGTACATAACACATGAGCAAAATACAGATTAGATTTTCTAAGTTAGATTTTCTAACTAAACTTCCTAAATTAACCAAGAAAAAGATAACCTTATCTTTTTTATTCATTATTATTCAAAAACCAAATCTAAAGCCAAATTTACATACAATTTTCATAGTTCTTTGAAAATTCCCATTTGGAATTTAATAGACTTACCTATAGGGTAAAATTGGCTTGGCAATCTTCTTAACACTCCCAACTCTGACAAACTTTTCAAATCCAAGACTGAGAAGGCTTTAAAGAAAACAAGATAAAATAGATTCTGATTATTTACAAAATAGAATATGAAACAAAATTTCATTTAATATTTATATCGTGGGTTTTTGGGGTTTTTGTTTTGTTTTGTTTTTTGAGACAGGGTCTTGCTGTGTAGCCTTCAAATTCAGAATTCTCCTGCCTCAGCTTCCTGAGTGCTAGGATTACAGGCATGTGCCACCGTAACTAGCTATATTATTAAAATTAATTTTGTATAATATTATAGAGTTATGTGACTCAATGTGAAATGTCTAAACTCAAAGTAAATGCAATGTGTAGCAGAAATAGCACATTTTATACAGATTTTTGGTAATTTCTTTTTTTCTTTTGCAGTACTGGGTATCAAACTCCAGGCCCTGTGCAGCTAGGTTGGGATATGCTGAGTTATATCCCAAGTCCTATTTTGTAGAGATTTTTAAGAATACTTATTGTTTTATGTGGAGGGCTCATTAAATATTTGTAAAACACCAATGTTAGTATTTATCAAAAATAAAACTGCCCCTAAAGACATAAAAGTATGGAAAGTAATAGATACCATATATTTAACAGCAAGGATTTTTTTTTTTTTTCAGCACTGGGATTTTAATTCAGGACCACATGCTTGCTAGGCAGGTGCTCTACCACTTGAGTCACTCTGCCAGGCCAAGATTTATTATTAAGAGTTCCTGAGACCCTATCTCCAAAATAACCGGAGCAAAATGGACTATGGATCAATGTAGAGTGCCTACTTTGCAAGTGTGGAGCCCTGAGTTCAAATTCCAGTTCCACAAAAAAAAGGAAAGATTATTATTAAGAGCCTCTTCACACATATTATTTCATTCAATACTGACTACAGCTCTGCAGACTTTCTAAGCTTAGAAACGAGGGCACTGAAACTCAGAGGTGAGGTAACTGTACTGAGGCTACATCACTAATAAATGGAGTTAGCCATGACTCAAACCCCAGGTTAGTCTGCCTATCTCCAGAGGCTATGACTATTCCTCTGTATACATTACCTCTAACCAGGGCCTTGTGTGGAAGGCACCCTTACCCTCTTTCCTCTAGAAAGTTAAATCTTCCAGCTCTAGCTTTATGCTAGGAATAGAACTGGAGTTCAATGAATACCAGGTCCTCTAAAACCTCTCTACCATCTCAAAAATGAGAATCTAAAAGTTAGAAAACTAAAGCACTATAGTCTTCCAAATATGGTATTCCAAAATAATGAAGAGATTTATTTAATGTCAATACATGAATAGATTTCAATTTCTACACTTTTCGTTTTAGAGAACAGTCAGTTACTTTGCACTCTGAAATTTTAGTTTATATTTTTTTCAATACAAGTTTGTGTTAAATTTATAACAATATTGTATCCTCAGACTACTACTTCCATGGGGTAAAGTAAAATGTATATATTTACTCAGCTGCCTTTTTTCTAACTTTGTCTTGTCCTGTCCATTACAATAGGAATACACTGTCTGTCCACTGTACAAGAATGTCATTTCAGTATGAAGAAATGTATGGGTCAAGCCAATGTGGCATTTGAGGCATCTATACTACTTGCAGATAACATTTCTCAGGTCCTTTTCAGAGATTTAAGAATTGAAGAATCTTTTTAATATGTTTCCTATTAAAAGAATCCAATACTTACTTATCTCTTCACTTTAGCTTCTCAATTTTTTTTTTTTTTTGAGACAGGGTCTTGCTGTATATAGTCCAGTTTGGCTTTGAACTCTCTGTCCTTCAGCCTCTGCTTCTTGAGTGTTGGGATTATAGGTGTGCACCACCACACACAGTTAGATGGAGGGTTTTTGTTGTTGTTGTTGTTTTTTAATGGTTTACTGAAAAATTTTTATCTCAATCTAAGCAATCTAAAGTTCTTTTGTATTTAGTCCCCCAGGTAACTCCTCATTATCTTGGATAAAAAATATCCTCAGTTACTCTTGGATTTCTCATAAGAATGCACAATGACAGGACCTTTCTAAAGGACAGTTTACCAAAATATATTAAGAGGCTAAAAGATGTTCTTATTTTTCATTCTAGGTTCAGGACTTTTTCTAAGGATAAAAACAGAGATGGGGAGAAGGAATTATGTTTAAGGATTTTTTTTGTCATAATATAATTAATAATGGCAAAAATTGGGACAGAATGTACCAATCAAAAACTGGTTAAAGAGGGTTGGGGGCATGGGTCAAGTGGTAAAAATACCTGTCTAGCCTGTGCAAGGCCCTGGGCTCAATTCCTAGTAATGAAAAAAAAAGTTTAAGTATGTATAAGCAAATCATCAAATGTAATGGAATTATGAAAGGTTAAGTTTTCTAAGATTTAATAGCGTAGAGAAATAATCTTTAAGTTAAACAACAACAACAAAAAGACCAGCCAGGTGCAGTGGCTCAGCTTGTAATTCCAGCTACTCAAGAGTTGAAGAGGATCAAGGTTCAAGACCATCCTGGGCAAAAAATTCACAAGAACCCATCACAAATTAAAAACAGGGTATGGTGGTGCATGCCTATCATCCCAGCTACACAGGAAGTGTGAACGGAAAAATTGTGGTCAAGGTGCAATCCCATTTCAAAAATAACTAAAGTTTTTATTTAGTCAAGAATATAGCTTGAATGGTAGTTTAAGCCTGAACCACCATAAATAAATAAACAGAACAATGCATATTGTTGAATTCCAAGTTCAGAAAGTAAAATGTACATGTATTAAAAAATCTATAAAATAGAAAGGAGGCAGTAGACAATTCTCTTCTCTGCCATTGTGGCAACAAACTCCAAAAAAAAAAAAATCTGTCAAGAAATAGGTATATAATCTGCGTATTTTCTACCATAAGCATTAATTTATATGATTATAAAAGTTAATTTTTAAAACTCTAGAATTATAAATAATGGATTATTTTTCCTAATAAAACTTTTTCACATATGATGAAATCCAAATAATTAAACACTAAAATATTGGTAAAACATGCAATATTTATCTTATGTAATCACAAAAATTTTATATCTGCTTAGAAGAAATTGCTGTTGCCTCCAGATCCCTCTTACTAAAACTGAAAATAGAACTTAAATTGTTCAGCTGTGTTAATATTATGTGTCCACATGGTTAGATAACAAAAGAATGGCCTATAACTGTTAGTCATTTTTCTGGGATTTGATTTTCGCCTACTTCTAATGTAACAGACCTAAGACTCCTGGGTCAGAGGCAAAGAACTTTTACTTGTGGCACTGGAAACAGCATGAGTATCATGGCTCTGCCTTAGATTCCTTTGGTCCCCAATTCCACAGGGAGATATAGAGCATCCCAACAGATTCCTGGGCATGCAGTGGATTGAGCAGCAATACAGCAACACTGAGATGGTAGATCTCTATTTTTAATAACGAGCAGTAGACAAGACTGCTCTTAGTCCTGGCAAGAGAAGTTACCTCACCAGGTCAGAGCTGCTGACTACAAACACAATCCTGAGAAACGCCTCGCAGGGATGCTGAGGGCCCATGTGAGTGGCCTCTCTGAGCAATATACTGCTAACCCTACATGTTCTTGGCTGAACTTGAAGTTTTATATAAATATCCCACTTTTAATGCCAAAATTGTCACACTTGGCATTTGATTTTATCCTGCTTATAAATGAATAAGTTAGCTTGTTACTATTCATAGATGCTAGCTCCTGGATCAGAGAAAATATCCACCATGCAGCAAAAATATGCATGGACTCTCAGGGCCCTTTGGGATTACCTCTCTCATCAGCTATTTAAATACACTTGTCATACCTACCCAAGAAGTACTCTGTCAACAGCTACATTGGTGGAAGAAGAAATCAGAAGCTTCCATGTCTTTGTATTTCCAACTGTAAGAGCTTCACTCTCTTCAAATAGCCGTACAAAGAACAAAATCACCACTGCCAGCAAATAGCTTTTTCCTGCTCCAAAAACACCTAATTATTTTAAAGGAAGGGGAAAAAATTTCAGGCAACATTATAAAAAATTTTCTGAAAGTACAAGAAATACTTCATCCATCTATCTCTCACTCTTACTCATTTCATTAATTGATGTATTCAAAAAATATTGGGTGCCCACTATGTGATATGCAGAGATAAATAGATAAATATTCAGAATATTCCTTAGTAAGACCACAGTCAAGAGGATAAACAGCTAAAATGTTAATGATAATATACTAGGCAACACTGTTATGGGATCCAAGAAAGAACAACATCTATCTTTGCTCTGGGAATGCTTCCTAACAGTAAGAAGTAGCAGAGTAAGTCTTGTACGGTAAGATATCCAGAATGTTTGGGTAATGTGTCATTCTAGGCAGAGATATGACAAACTGTCAAAAGAACTTCAAATGTTTCTATATGGCCTGTAGCATATAGATGAGATGAGGCTGAGAGATGGGCAATGGGATGAATCATAACTTTACTATAACTAAAATTTTTGAATTTTATTTTAGAGGCTGGTACAGGTATTGAAGTATTTTAATCAACAGGATTGACTTGTATTTTAGATAAACAGTCAAAACATGGAGGAAGGTAAAACTAAAAAATAGAACAATTAGAAAACTGTGAGATGATCATAACAGGAGTGCTAACTTTACTAAGTGCATTCCATGTGCCAAGCACTGTTATAAGCATTTCATCTATGATAATCATTTAATCCTCCAACCTATGGCTATTATCACCCCCATTTTACAGAGCAGATAATGAAAGCTAAGAAGGAAGTAACCTGTCCATGATCACACAGCTAATAAATGATAGAGCTAGGATGTAAAGGCAAGATTCTACCTCTAGAGCCTACTCTTACCCGCTGGGAAATTACAGAGAAGACTAACTTACAAAAAAATTACATAAAAGTGCATTTACAAGGATTGTCCTCTTTCTTGCTTCTTACCATGTATGACTGTGATAGGCAGGGTATGTGTACACAGATCCTTCGCTTCTTCAACACTTTTGTGGGATGCCATCATTTGAGCTATTTGAATTAGAGCTGTAGCTTGGTCCTTGTTTAAGCTGTGTGTCTGAATAAACTCAGTAGCTAATTGCAATGTCGCTTCTAGGCTGAGTAGTTCAAATTTTGTGTTGATATTTGCAAAGGCTGGTGGAATAAATTTTCTCCTATTGACCCCCTTATTGCTACCTGTCGTTAATGAAGACCTAGTAAAAAGGCAGTAAATCAGGAAAAATTAGACGTTTGAAATAGGTGAGTAGACTTATTCAGGACTTAGACTTTATAATCATCACAGAGAACATTTTGGGGGAAAATGAATGGATATAGACCTCAATTTGGAGGAAGGTGCAAAAGAACTAACATTTGTTCAATATCTACTGTCTCCTGGCTTGAGTCTAAGCACTTTTCATATTACTTTATAGAATCTTCACAACAAAAGTAGTTAATTATCCCAAATAGAAATATACAAATATTAAATATTAAAATGTTTCCCCCCAAACCACAGCACTAATAAGTGGTAGACTTAAATAAATAATATAGCCTCTATTTCAGGAAAAATTACAATAAATAAATTGCATTTAGTTCTATGAAGACTAAATTCATTTCAAGTTGGACAAATAACATGACGGAATCGTAAGAATATGTTTTACTTAGGATTTCATGGGGTAAAAAAGCAAAGTACCACAAGATAATAGCAATCCAAATTAGAAAATAAACTTTTTATATCATTTTAATGCATTTAATATACTATCTCTTCATGTTCTTAAAGCCAGGACTTGGTGTTTAAAAAATTAAAAGTGAAATATAATGTCAAGAATAAAATTAGGGCCTGGCACCAGAGGCTTAGTCCTGTAATCTTAGCTATTCAGGAGGCAAAGATCAGGAGGATCACAATTTGAAGCCAGCTTGAACAAATAGTTCGTGAGACTCTGTCTCAAAAATATCCAACACAAAAAAGGGTGGGGCAGGGCACCAGCTCAGCAAGCGTGAGGCCCTGAGTTCAAACCTGAGTATGCAAAAAAGAGTAAGTAAAATTAGTTTTGACATATCCATTGGATTCAAGTTGTAAAATGATTCTTTTAAATCATTTTGAGTTCCAGTCTAACCTGGGTTATGCAGTGAAACCCAGTTTCAACAAACAAACAAATTAGTCCTTGATAAAGAAAAAACATTTTGCACTATTTATTAGCCCAAGTCACATAAAGAAATGAGTGGGTCTTTGTTAAAATTCATTTACATACTTTTGTGGTGCTGGGGATTAACACAGGGCCTTGCACAATCTAAGCAATTGCTCTACCACTGAGCTCTACCATCCTCCCCAGTGGCCCTTTGTCTTTTTATGTTTAACTAGTAGCAGACAGTAGTCTCTTAGTTAGAAAGATAATTAATAATCTTACTGTTAAAATTTATATAATGTGCTGTTTTTGTATTTGCATATTCACTTTCAGTTTTGATTTTTTTAAATATCAATGACCTGAAGATAAACTACGACTTACATTGTTAATAGGTGTGGTGTTAGAGGTAAAGTAGCTGGATTAAAGTAATCCTGAATGTTTTTCAAAGTAGTCAGCTCCGTGCTGGCATTACAAACCAGTAACGCATGGACCACTACTATAGAGAAGATGCAGAAAATGATTACTTGGGGTAAACCATAAAGAACCATTTAAATATCCTTATACTCAGAGTTCAGCTACTGAATTAATCATGACATAAAATGAACATTTAAGTACAGGCAGAGGTCCTTAAACTTTTGTCCATTAAATTACTATGCTATCTGCTCATTGATTTCATATGTGAATACACAGAAATTGCATAACTTGAATCAAACTTGGGCTTCTATGGATCAGCACAAAGAACAACTGTTTTGAGCCAATGCATCATAGCACTGCTTGACTGGCAGTTCTTTTTAATACCACTTGTGCTGTTACAGTAGTACTTGTGTAATTTTAAAACATTTTCTTATATTTCTTCAATTTTTTCATTAAAATTAGAATGCTGATATTGGTAAACAACTGCAAATATATGAAAATATCCATATGAAAAGTGGCAAATGTTTACTTAATTAGATTCTTATTAGATCTTAGCTGGTTGACTAGGTTTATCCAGTTTACAAAGACAAGAGATATCAGCCAGGCATAGTGGTATACACCTATAATCTCAGCACTTGGGAGGTTAAAGGCAGGAGGATCAAGAGTTCAAGATTATCTTAGATTATATAGTAAGATCTTGGTCTCAAAAAAAACATAACAAACAAGCAAAAAAAAAGAAAAAAGAAAAATCCTACTGTCATTAAATGCTGTATGGACCAAACCATTAGAAATAATTACAAGGATCAAAATGTATGCAGAAGTCTATAGATGCATAAAACAAGATAGGGACTCAGTTTACTAAAGATTTCTTTATTAAAAGAATGAGGTACAAAGTCTGTCTTATTAAAATTTTTTCAAGACAGATAAGGTACTCTCAAGGCAAAAATCATACTCTCAAGGCTATAGGTGTAGTTCAAGTGGTAGGGCACCTGCCTAAATTTTTGAAAATCAGGTATATGGTGTGTAAAATTTAACTTTAACAAAAAATAATGGCTAAAGATTTCATCAAGCCCATAGGACTTGAACTGTAGAAATATTTACGAATTCATTTTTCATTGATATTTTCAGAAACACATTTATACCATATTAGAAACTAGAGGTGGGGGCTGGTGGAGTGGCTCAAGTGGTAGAGCGCTGGCTTAACAAATGTGAGGCCCCGAGTTCAAACCCCACTGCCACCAAAGAGAACAAACAAACAGAATAAAAAAGAAAGAAACTAGAAGAGGGTGCTTTTTGTTGGCTTTAGTCCAATAATTCCACACACTGTTAGTGGGCTTGCTCATAGTGCCTCCTTTTTCATAAACCTAGAGAGGGATTCTTTTTAAATATAAATTAGGATGTATGTGGCAATACTTACTGTTAGTGGGCCAGTTAGAAGGGAAATAGCCTTTCAAAGGCAGGAGCTCCACCTCATTGATAGATGATGGTCCAAAGAAAGCACTACATGCAACAAAAGTATCTAGCTCGAAGTCTAGGGTTTTTGAAATCACCCACAGATCATCTAAAAAGACAAACATCCCCCTGTTTTTATTAAGCTATGATTGACAAATACAAATTGTATGTAGTTAGGGTATACAAGATGGTATTGGGGGAATTGCTGGGATTGAATCTAGTGCCTGTTAATGCTAAGCACTCACTCTATAGCTGGGCTACACATCAGGTGCAATGTGGTAGTTTAATAAAAGAATACCTGGTGTAACAATGCCCACAGTCAAGCTAGTTGTTTAACATATCGGTCACCTGACACAAAAAGTTACCTTTTTTTGTGTGTCTATGGTGAAACTCTTAAGATCTACTCCCTTTGCAAATTTCAAGTACACAATATACCATTATTAACAATCGTTACCATGCTAGAGATCTCTAGAACTTACCCATAACAGAAAGTTTGTACTCTTTGACCAATATCTCATTTTCTCTATCCCTCAACCCTTGGCAACCACCATTCTACTATCTGTTTCTCTCTAAGTTCAACTATTTTAAATTCACATATGTGTGAAAAATTTGCCTGTGTCTGGCTTATTTCACCTAGCATAAAGTCCTGTACATCCACATATATTGTCATATATGTATTGTATATATTATATATATATATATATATATAATATATATTGGATTTCCTTCTTTTCTTAAGGCTCAATAGTGTTTCATTTGTGTGTGTGTATACAATGGAAGATATAGATGTGTATGCATGTATATACACATATACACACACACATTCCATTATTTCTTTAGTTATTCTTCCATTGAAACACAGTCTTCAAAGTTTGTTCAGGCTGCCATAATAAAATAGCTTAGACTGGTTTGCTCTCTCCGTCGTAGATGGAGCCTCTTGCTGCCTCCTTACATGGTAGAAGGAGGAAAGACTATGTCCTCGCAGGGCAGAGGGGAACAAAGGGGCTGGGGTGTTCCTTTCAACCTCTTTTTATAATGCCACTAATTCCACTCATAATGTACAGGCCTCAAGACTTAACCACATCCTAAAGGCACTACCTTTGAATACAGATTGACTGTCCATTATCCTAAATGCTTCTGACTTGGAAGTATTTCAATTTAGGAAATTTTCCTAAATGTTTTCTAGATATATTTGCATATATCTAATGACATATCTTAAGGACGATCCTAAATTCAAACACAAAATTCATTTATGTTCACATATACTTTATATACATAGCCTGGAGGTAATTTTATACACTATTTTTAATAATTAAAACATACAAACATAAAGTTTCATGGTATGGAATTTTCCATTAGTGGTATTGCATTAGCACTCAAAATGTTTTGGCTTTAGAGCATTTTGGAATTTTGGAATTCAATCTGTACTAATAACAAATCAACATAATTTTCCTTCACTCAAAAAGTCTTAGAACAAATTGATGAACCATCTGCTTAATGACAAAGGTGATCTACATTCTAGAATAGTTTCTTGCCTTTCTTTCAGAACTAGAAAGTCTGTGCACCAGACCCGACCAGTAAATCATACTTTGAGAAGCACTACTGTAGATAATGTCAGTTGGAGGAACAGGAAGAGGAACAGTGAGGAAAGGACTCTGGACAAGGACTAAGGGATGTGATAGTTTAATAAGTACTTTTTTTACTGAGGGTAAGATTTAACTATCAATTTTTTTAAAGGCAGAAAAAATTTTAAAGGTACATAGAAAAAAGTAAGATAAGGAGAAATAATAATTTAAGATTATAGAGAGTATAGTCAATTATAATGATGTAACTATTGAGCTTACAATTCAATTGTATTGTATTTACAATTCAAGTTTTTGTAATTGAGATATGTTGTTTATAGGGATACACCTATAAAAACACACAAATGTGGAAAGAAAAGATTGGAAAAAGACTTATCAAGTAAATATTAGTAATAATAAACCTGAGATATTTATATTGACAAATACATTTTAAGAAAAAAGTATTAAAGTTGGAAAGAGTCTATATGAAAAAAAAGTTTCCATTTACCAAGAAGATAACCATAATTGAAAACCTATATGTACTTAATAAAATAGCCTCAATACATAAGGTGAAAAAAGTAACAAAATAGCAAGGAGAAAGTGCACCATAGAAGACTTCAACTCATCCCCCTTGATTGCTGATATATAACTAACAAAAAATTGGCAAGATCTGAATTATACAGTTACTAACTTGAACTGATAACTAAAGAAGAGCTATGTATCCAACAATTAGAGAAAATGAATATTTCTCATGGTTTTTGCAAATCAATAAAACCTTAAGGGGTTGGGTACAATGGTGCATACCTATAATCCCAATGCTTGGGAGGCTGAGGAAGGAGGACTGAAAATTCAGTGCTGGCCTGGACTACATTGTAAGAGTCTGTCTCAAAAAAAAAAGTTACAAAATATTTAAATAAACAGAAATATATCACCTTCCTGAATAATAAAACAATATTTAAAAGATGTCATCCTTCCCCAACTTCATTCACAGATATGACTTCAATCAAAATCCCAAAAGGTTTGGGTTTTTTTGTTTGCTTTGTTGAGACTGGGGTTTGATCTCAGTGTACTGAGCTTGCAAAGTAGGAACTCCACCACTTGAGGTATACCTCCAGTCCATTTTGCTCTGGTTATTTTGGAGATAGGGGTCTCATGAACTATTTGCTTGAGCTGGCCTCAAACCACAGACCTCTTGATCTCAGCCACCAAAAGAACTGGGATTACAAACATAAGCCACCAGTGCCCAGCCACCAACAGGTTTTTTTCCAAACTTATTAAGATGATTTTAAAATGTATATGGAATGCTGAAGAGCCAAGATTAGCTAGCACTTTATGGTCGTGTCTTATAGGCAGTACTTTATTTACAGTACAGTAATTAAGATAGTATAGAATTGCCACAAAGATATACAAATTGACTAGCAGTGTAAAATAGGAAATCCAGAGACAGGTATACACTATTTGAACTTGATTATATGACAAGAGGCAGCATTGCTGACCAGAGAGGAAAAGAGGAGAAAAAAAAAAAAGGTGAAATGGAATCTAATCTCATGTCATATTTTTAAAAAAACAACTCTAAATGAATTGGAGATTCAAATGTCAAAAACAAAACTTTAAAACACTTGCCAGAAAATACAGGCAAATAATTTTACTTAGGAAAAGATTTTTTTTTTTTTCCAGTACTGGAGTTTGAACTCAGGGCCTTCACCTTGAGCCACTCCACCAGCCCTTTCTTTGTGTTAGGTATTTTCAAGATAGGGTCTCACAAGCTATTTGCATGGCTTCGAACTATGATACTCCTGATCTCTTCCTCCTAAGTAGCTAGGATGACAGGCGTGAGACACTGTGCACAGGTGGGAAAGATTTTCTTTTTTTTAATTTTATTATTCATATGTGCATACAAAGCTTGGGTCATTTCTGCCCCCTGCCCCCACCCCCTCCCAGGAAAGATTTTCTTAAACAAGACACAAAAAGCATTGTCCATGGCTGGGCACTGTGACACATGCCTGTCATCCCAGCTATGCCAGGAGGCACAGTGGGAGGATTACAGTCCAGGATGGCCAGGGAATAAGATGAGACCCTACCTCAAAAATAACCAAAGTGAAAAAAAAGAAAAAGGGCTGGCAGAGTGGCTCAAATGGTAGAATGCCTGCCTAGCAAGTGCACCACAGTACCAAGTACACCAAAAACAAGGGAGGAGCTTAACCTTAAAAAAGCATTGTCTAAAAAATATGATTATTCTACAATTAATTTTTGAACTAAGGATGTAGCTCAGTGGTAGATCACTTTATTAGCAGCATGTATGGGAGCCCTCAGGTGTTTTATTTGTTTTTTGGGAGATTTTGGTCTATCTAAAGTAAGTAAAAAGACATGTGCCAGGCCCCGGTGGCTCACACATGTAATCCTAGCTACTCAGGAGGCAGAAATCAGGAGGATCGCAGTTCAAAGCCAGCCTGGGAAAATAGTTTGCAAGACCCTATCTCAAAAATACCTAATAGAAAAAGGGCTGGAGGCGTGGCTCAAGATGAAGGCCCTGAGTTCAAGCCCCGGTACTGCAAAAAAAAAAGATTTGTTACATAATACACATGACCAACAAAGGATTAACATGATGACTCTTTTAAGAACTTCTAAAGATGGGTAAAAAGAAACACACACAGCTAATAAACACATGAAGAGCATTTCAAAATCATTGTAATGCAAGCAAGCTATTAGCACAATGAGATTATTTTTCACCCATTTGAGTAGGATGAGCCACATTTTGCTTAAACTTTGATAATAGATATACAAAATGATATAACCACTATGGAAGTCAGTTAGGCACTACAAGCTAAAGACATGTGTAGCATTCTCATATCCTGTAATGCAGTATTGTCGTATCTAGGATGGTACCCAAATGAAATTCTTAATCATCTACAAGAAAACACAAGAATACTCACAGTATACTGTTCAGAATGGCAAAACTGAGAAATTCAAATGACCATCAGTGGAAGACTAAATGAACGAATTGTGACACAGTCACAAAAGAAAATAAAATACGATTGTCAAAATAAATAATCTAGTCTCTAGATTTTAGAATGACAACCAAAAACATGGATAAATTATAGCAATATACTAAGTGAAAAATATAAATTCCAAAATATTAAATACAGAATGAAATAATTTTAATAAGGAATAATACATAGACTGAAATCATTTTAATAAGAGTTTAAAAACTAAAGATTTAAAATGTGCTCCTTGAGCTGGGCACAGTGGTACATGCTTGTAATCCCAGTACCCAAGCCTGGGTTATCTATCAAGAGACCCTGTCCCCCTCATCCCCCAAAACAAGTGCTCTTTAGAAATTCATTTATATAAATTTATATACAAAGAAAAGCAAAACATTGACAAGAGGTCAAAATAATTACCTTGGATTAGGAGACACAGGCAGATGAGTTAGCGGGTTATATTCTGTTAAATGTAGGTTGGCATAAAGATACTAGATTTTATTTTGGTTATGGGTTCACAGATACTACATTACTTTAAATAACTAATTAAACAAAAGCAAGCTATCTGAGAACTCATGACAAGAATAGATCATGAAACAAAAATAAATTATTAAAACAATTTAGTGTACCTAAAGGCCTTTAAAACAATCTGTTTTTAATATTTTATTTCCAAATATACAAAATTGGAGATCCAGTGTTAGGGAGACAATAAAGAGTATCAGCAAACTCATTTTTCAGTTTATTTTCAACATTGGATCAGAGTAGAGCTGAATCTATGTATTCATATGATGCCAAAGACTTAATGTGACTTTTTTTTTTTTTTGGTGATACTGGGGTTTGAATTCAGGGCTTTATATTTGCTAGACAGGCGCTCTATAGCTCGGGCCATGCCTCCAGCCCTTTTTGCTCTGGTTATTTTGGAGTTGGAATCTCACTTTTTTTTTGCCCATGCAAGCCTGAACAGACAGACTCCTGTTTTATGCCTCTGGCTGTCTCTGGGATGACAGCCGCAAGCTACCACACCCAGCTTTTTTCCATTGAGATGGAGTCTTGCAAACTTTTTTGTCTGGGCTGACCTGGAACTGCCATCTTCCCAACTTCAGCCTCCTGTGTAGCTTGGGATGGTAGGTACTTGCCACTGCGCTCAGCTAATGGCTGAGACTGGAATCTTGTAAACTTTTTAAGTTTTAGCAAGGATTTATTTTAGCATAACAGAATAAATTAGGGAAAAGTAGGGGGAAAGGGAGAAACTCTTCCTCTTCCCTGCAAATCTTCTTTTGCCTGGGCTGGTTTTAAACCACTATACTCCTGATCTCAGCCTCCCAAGTAGCTAGTATTATCAGTGTGAGCCACTGGTGCCCAGCTTAGTGTGACTTTTTAATAAAGTTGCTTTTGGTATTCTTTTAATAAAATGTCTTAAATATAAAGAACATATAGAGCTATATATTATAGATATTCATCTGCATGTAACTGAATCACCAACGTGCTAAGATCTACTTACCTTTTCCATAGACAGAAGAACTTTCCTTCCGACTCAGCTTAAGATAAAGTTTGCTTTTTGTTTCACTATAAAATTCAGGATTTATAGTAGCAAATTTCTTTAGTTTGCCATATTGTTTTCTCTGAAAATCAAATCCTTTTCTGAAAAAAAAAAAAGAAAATTGAATTTGAATACTAAAGTGCAATTTTAAAAAACTTTAAAATATAGCATGTAAATAAAAGAACCAGAATTGTACACATTTATTTACTTTCATACGTGTATATAAAATATAAATATATTCCATCAAAGAAAGAAAACAACCCTCATAGCACTGTCATCAGTTTAAATGAGGTGTAGATGGGAAAAGACGCAAAATGGGAATGGTAACCTCTCCCCATTTCTCCATATCTTATACATCATTGTGATACAAATGAGATAATACATACACAGAGAGCCTGGCATCTATAAGCTCCCAATAAATTATGACGTAAATGATCCTTATATTTTGTTTAGTAATTGCACTTTTATAAAAGACTTGTTTCTAAAAAATAGCATTCTATTCTCCTACAGACTCTATGTTCAGGCTTTTCAATGATCGCTCACCTATCATCCTGCATTACTAAAAGTTATTCCTCTGCTTTGTTCTATATGGTTCCCTTTAGGATTAGAAAAAACAGCCATGAATATATACAAAGATGGTTAGAAAAATAGCTTCCTGCCAACTATCCTGATATTGCTGACACCACTGATGCTGAGAGGGCCAAAATAGCCTTAAAGATTTCTGCCACCTCACACTTATAGTAATTGAGGGACTCTCTCTGATAGGTACTTTTCCTATCTGGTAGTATAAAACATACCTCACCAAAAGCTGGCATTCCTCATAGACTGGGATCTTTTGACTTCTTAAATACAAGCCAATACTCTTAATATCACTTAAAACCATACTGGGCCGAGACTCTTCCTGTGTTAACAATCCTGGAGTCACTTCCTCAAGCCACTTGAAAAATTTACATTGATCAGCTTTGGGTCTATCACATGTATAAAAGAGACGACCCTAGGGAAAAATGGTAGAGGGCTTATCAAGCATGTATGAGGCTCTGGGTTCCATCCCTGGTAATGCAAAAAAAATTAAATTTATTAATGATAAGGTTTTTTTGTTTTAGTTAGTATTATGCTTGTCAAGATTTTTATAAAGACTGCTTGGATTAATACATATAGTCCAGGAAATTAATCACTATACAATTTAATGTAATTTAAATAGTAAATTTTTAAGTCACTTATTTTCCATTTATTATCTCTTTATCAACACATTACATTATTCTGAGAATTAAAGCTTATTTGAAAATTAGCAATAAATTAAAATTTGTTATTCTGATTATTTACTATAGACAACTTGAAATCTATCCAGAACTGCAAGCAACATCTGTGCATCTTTCCATACTTTTTCCTCACACATGCACATGCACACACACATACACACACGCTCACTCACAAATACACACATTTTGTTTTGTAAAGAAAATTCAAGCCAGGCACCAGTGGCTCACATCTATAATCCTAGCTAGTTGGGAGGCTGAGATCAGGAAGATCATGGTTTGAGGCCAGCCTGGATAATTAGTTCATGAGAGACCCCATTTCCAAAATAACCACAGCAAAAATGGAACTGGAGATGTGCCTCAAATGGTACAGCACTTTGCAAGCATGAAGTCCTGAGTTCAAACCACAATTCCACTGAAAAAAATTCACATCATGATGTATCTTCTACTCTATATTTAGAGCTCTGATATTTAACATAGTACAGGCATGCAGCAGCCATGTCATCAGACAATCTTGAAAAGAACACAAATATTTTGAATGCCTGTATACTTCATTCTATAGTTATGCTATTATTTATGAATTCTTGTTTATTAAATAAATCTTATTTAATAAATAAATTTATTTATTGATAGGCAGTTCTAGGGGCTTAAACTCAGGGCTTTGAGCTTGTGAGGCAGCATTCTAATGCTTGAGCCATGCCTCCAGCTCTTCTTTTTCTGGTTATTTCAGAAATGGGGTATTGCTTTTTGTCCAGGCCAGCCTGGACCGTGATCCTTCTATTTTAAACTTCCCACCATCATGGGATAAGTGCTTGCCACCATACTCAGCTGTTTCCATTAAGATAGGGTCTTGCAAGCTTTTTGAGCTAGCCTTGATCATGATTCTCCCCATATCAGCCTCCTAGGTAACTTAGCATGACAGAAGCACACCACCACACCCAGCTATTGGTTGAGATGGGGGTCCCTCGAACTCCTTGCCCAGACTGGCCTCAAACCTCAATCCTCCTGATCTCAGTCTCCCAAATAGCTATGATTACAAGTGTGAGCTACCAACTCCTGGCTTGACAACTAAATCTAAAGTCAAATTTACATACTCAACCAATGATGAAATGAGACATGTAAATAGTGAAAGAAAACTGTATTGCGGTAAGGTGTGGTAGCATATGCTCTAATCCTAGCACTCTGGGGCTAAGGCAAGAGGATCATGAGTTTGAGGCCAGCCTGGGCTACACTGAAAATTCCAGGAAAGTTGAAAGTACACAGCAAGACCTCGTCTTAAAAAAAAAGGCAGAAAACCATCAGGTAGGACATATCCCCCTTGTCAGTGCTCTCACTATTACTTGGGCATATCCCTCTTATTTTATCAATTACAGCAGTACATAACATTTTCTTTCCTGTATCTCTTTCTGTCCACTACTATGTAGTAAGTTCCTAAGCAACTCAAAGGTTCATCTTAACACATATTTCTGTGTCCTAGAACACAGATCATTCTTTTCATAAAATTTTATTGAGCGCTTACTATACATTAGCTATGAATGCCTCAAAGACACACAATCAAGTCTCACTCTCCAAGCTCACTACAAAACAATAAGCATGTGAGTTACATATAATGTAAGTACAGGGTGTGGGGAGTAGGAATGATACCTTATTTGGACCTTCTTTTTTAACCATGATAAGTTTGGCAGGTTGATTATGATGGCAAGATGGCAAATTATTTTCTACATTTTTCAGATCCTCTCCTTGGGGCGATGTGTAAAATGATATGTCAACTTTTGAAAGAGCTTTGTGCAACCTCTGGGCCAACCCAAACAGCAATATATTTAGATGTTCTACAAAAAAGGAGGTAAATATAACTGAAAATTAAATATAAAATCATTTTGTTTTGGACTGGAAGTGTGGCTTAAGCAGGAGAACGCCTGCTTTGCAAGCATGAAGCTCTGAGTTCAAACTCCAGACCCACCAAAAACAAAAACCACAAAATTATTTTGTTTGTATCACATATATGCTCTTTATTATTTGAAAATGCCCTTTTAACAGAGTCAACTATAATGTAACACTAAAATCCAGTTTATATTTTTTATTTTATGTATTTTTTTGGTGGGGGGGGTACTGGGGTTTGAACTCAGGGCCTGGCACTTGCCAAGTAGGCACTCTACCACTTGAGTCACTCCACCAGCCTTTATTATTGTCTTTATTTTACCAAATTAAAACAAGAACATTATAGCCATTAAATAATGTATCCAAGGCAAAATACTACTAAGTGACAAATCCCGACTTCAACCCATATCTGTCAGACTTTAACTAGTGTGCAGTACTTTTTTAATCATTTAGACTTCTTCTTATTCTAATTATTAATACATATTAATTGTATATATTAGTTGGCTTCACCATAATATTCCCACATTTGGACACATTATGCTTTTAGCATCCATTTTTAATTTTTTATTTTTTGAGACAGGGTCTCACTATATAATCCAAACTGTCCTCATTCTCAATCCTCCTCCCTCAGCATCCCGAGTGCTGGGATTACAGGCATGTGTTATCATGCTTGACAACATCCATCTTTTTTTTTTTTTTCATTTTTCTTTTATTATTCATATGTGCATACAAGGCTTGGTTTATTTCTCCCCCCTGACCCCACCCCCTCCCTTACCACCCACTCCACCCCCTCCCGCTCCCATCATCCATCTTTTAAATGGCAAGTTTTGCAGTCAGCCCGAGCTACATAGCAAGACTCTGTAAAGAAAGAAGGATGGGAGGGAGGGAAAAAGGAAGGTAGGGAGGGAAAGAAGAGAGGAAAGGATGGGAGGGGAAAAGGAGAGAGAGAGGGAGGGAGAGAGGGAGAGAGGGAGAAAGGAAGGGAGAAAAGTTTCGCCCTTAACTGCAAAACATTCAGACCTAACCATGCATTGTACTTAAGTTTTTCAACTTAAATGAAACAAGGTCATTTTTTTTCTATCTTTAAAAATGAAAAACTGTATCTTTAAAAAGATAATATTGCAATTTTTCACTTTTAAACTCAATTTTGATCTAAAGTTAGAATTAGAGTTACTGTCAAAAACTGGAGTAAACATGCAAAATAACAAATCTCAGGAAAATTTGCTATGAAAATTCTTAAGACATTGTACTTTCTCAGAGTTCTACTATTTGCATGAAACAGTAATCAAAGCAAAATAAAATATATCAGTTATACCTATGATACAAGATGTAAAGATCTGCTTATAATGTGCAGGAGACTGAAAAACAGCTGGGATGTGGATTTGCCTTTGAGGAAGATAAGCAGATTTTATTTTCTGCCTACTTGGGAAGCATAGCTCAGAGCCATTTATCTCCTGAAAAGGAATGATTCAAGCTATTATAACAGCTCAAGAAATAGTTTACCAACTGAGTATTTCTCTCTCTCACACTCACACTCACACACACACACGTGTGTGTGTATATATATATTTGAAAACATACTAATTTTACTTTTGATTCCTAAAATCCATGAAAATTATTTTCTAATAAGAAACCAGATTAAGTCAGAATAACTATGCATGCTACTTTTAACCCTAAATAACATCAACTTTTTTTGTCTTCCTTTCAGTATGTTTTTCAGTCATTTTTACTATGAAAAATATAACTGATATGAATGGATCAGATCTCTATTTCTGGTTATGACTGTAAGAATAACTCACAATAGGTGTGTAGTAGATGTACCTTTACCCTGGTAATAATCAAATCAACAAGACTGACTTGATAGTTTAAAAATAAAAACAATCACAGCAATATTAGTAGTGGAAGTAGTGGTATAAATGGGAATAAGGACAATGATACCAATTATGTACCAACTACTACACCAGAGACTTTCAAATATGTAATTTCATTTAATGTTCACAACTACTAGGAAAGTCTAATTTAAGTCAAAGGACTATAGCTGGAGTCCTAATCAAGAAAAACCATCTGCTCCGAAGGTTAAATTGCTCTCATATAATTCTGTTAATTCTTTTGCTGAAATTCACACAGTAACAATTGGAAAAAACATACCACAGGCTGGTACAGGTCCTCACCTGTAAATCCTTTACACTGTAGTTGAAGCAGGCAGACCTTCCTAACACATCTTGAATTTCCTCAGGCTTGGAAGTCTGCTTTAAATTCAAAGAAAGTGCTTTGTTTCTGGAAAACAAATCTTGACTGCTAAAATCCTGCTGCTGTTGATAGAGCATGTCCTTTATCATTTGCAAATGCACAGACTCTGAAGAGCTGTCAATCATAGCATCCTTCTGCTTGTCATTTGTGTCACTAAAATGCATCCCAGAAACAGCCTCAGCAAAGCATCCATCCATTACTTCCTTATCAATTCTGTTTAGAGCAGTCAAGTTGCATTGAGATACGTTTTGATATTTCAGCCACTTGCTTTGAGCAGACTTATTATGGAGCAGTGAAACATCTCCCAAAGTCACTTTCCTAGATTCTTCAGAAGAAGTATCACTTTGGTCCTCAGGCCCAAAGCTAAAAGGAAGAACTGCTGACTCTTCACACAAGTTGAACACAGGAGAACCAGAAGACTCTTGTGTGTCATAGTCAATCACAAATGAACAAGAATCTAAGTCATCTGGCACATCAGCAAGTGGCAATGTAGTAAAAGGAATTTGGCCTCTATTTACTAATGGAAGCCTTTGAAGGTTCTTACTCTCCAGAGCACTAAATTTTTTCATTCCTAAAAGAAAACAGAATGCTGATTACATAAAAATGTACTACCAGTAATTAATCAGGTTCTAGAAAACAGTGGGTATCTATGCAGAAAACCAAAAAGTACCAATTTGCCCTGCAAAGAAAAGAAAAATCACATAATTTTATTTCTTTTCAAAAAATTTATGGTTTTAATCTCAAAAATAAAGATTTCAAAACTTAACTTATAGATTCTGAAGCTTTTGAAGGCTGATAAACTTGAAGTTCTTTTTTCTTCTACTTAGTTAAGGATTTATCCTGAAATGTTACATTATAACTTAATATAGTACTTAAGTTTTCAAAGCATTTTAAAGGCAAGAAAGGATGTGTCATTTTCATTTTACAGTTGCAATTATAGAGGAAACATGTCTACCAAGGGTCAAAGTGAGGATAAGAACTTAGAAACTAGTTTTTTCTATTTTAGATTCCTTTTCTGGAATTAAAGATTTTAGCTTTAATTTGATCTACTGATATGTGATAGATCACATAGATGTGATGGTAAATTCATGGCAGATTTTATCTGGATGAGCTTTTATAATACCTTCTTTCTGTCAATAGCTTTAGTAACAGAGATATCCCTGAAAGTGTAAGAAGAAAAAAATATTTGTTAAATGCATAAATGAATGAATAATATTGCATGGAACTATACAAACTTGAAGTTTTATCTGACAATGCAATAGATTCCTATTTTATAACAATGTATCTTCCTGAGAAAGTTTCTATTTTGTTGGAAATAAATTCTGGAGATCATTTGGGAAGTAGCAGGACAGTAAGTGAATCAATGAATATTTGTTTATGAAGTGCTATGTTGCACTTCTAACAAGTTGATCAAGCAACACCGACAATACAGTTAAAAGAAGCTTAAAGTTTAAAGAAGTAAAAGAGCTGATAGAGTAGATTAAGCAGAACGAGTACCTGCATAGCAGGAGGATTGTGAGTTCAGGACCAGTCTGGACAAGACTGTTTCAAAAACCTACCCAATCAAACAAATAAAATATGTAAAAGAGTCATGGCATAACTGTGAAAATCACTTATTCCATTGCCACTTCACTTTTTTTTTAGAAAAACTACTCTTTGTTTCTGTTTTTTGCCTTCCAGCAACTTCATTCATTAAACTACCTGCAACCCAAATACCTATTCACATCATTTTTTTTTAATATCATCCACTTACAACCAAAAAAATTACCTGTAACTTCACCCTTTACCCAACATGACTTCAGAATCAACAGAAGATATATTGGTGAGATTATAAGAGAGAAAAAAAGTTAGCAGAAAGAATCCTGCAGAATCATACTATATTTATTAAGGAGCAGAAAACAACCCAAAAGGAAAGAGTCAAAATGTATGAAAACACTGATGTCAGCAGCAGCTGAAGAGTTTCCTCACATTGCCAGCATCCCAAAGCAAAAAGGAGAAAACTAAGTTATGCTAAGGTCAACAGTGATATTGATGAGCCATTCACAATGAGTAAGTCCCCTGAGTGATGAAGGGACTATAAAGAGGGGTCCAGCTCTGGAGTTTTAGCTGTGAAAAATACCAACAAAGGTAGAAGACACTCCAGAAGTATGTGATGAGAAAGTTGAGAAAGAAGAGCTAGAAGGAACATCTATCCACATTAGAAAAGTCAAAAGGAAGAAAAGGTGTGGGAAAGCTTCAATGGAGATGACACTGAATCTGGTTCCAAGGTAACAGTTTAGTAATATCTGCCAAATAAAAAACTTCATTTTACATGAACACGTAGATATCAGAACAATACAGTAACAACTATCCTCCAAGCTGAGGAAGAGAAAGTCACCAGGTAAAGTTCTTGCTTTCAGGGATTCCTCAGAGAACTCATGCACAAAGTCTTCATTTCTTGAATTCAAAGAAGTAGAAACAGGGCTTGACAGAGAGATCTTTTGTTCTGGTGATGTTACCTACCCAGAAAGAAGAAATAAAATCACTAACCAAAATCTTCTTACTGCATTTTCTTCACTATTTCTGAATTCCATTAGTCAGAATTATAAAAAATAATTATTTTAAGTACATTATGTGGAAAGATATGGTGGGGGCAAAAACTATACTTCTTCCAAAAAGGACAGAATAGGGTAAACTCACTAAAATCAACAAGAATAATAGAAAGTAAAACATAGAACATAAAGCCTTTGGGTTTATTCATAATGGGTCGGATTCCGATTTGAGATGATCTAGTTATGGGGATTTGGTTCCAAAGATCAATTTCCATTCAAAAGGACTCAGCCCAAATTGGACCTCGCATTTGGCCTTGTAGGTCTAAATTCCTGCATACTCATGTCTTGTCTTACATGCTCAGGTATGGGGCTTATCTATAGCCAACCTTAACTTCAAGATATTGTTCCAGAATGGAGTAAGTTTTTAAGTATATCATAGACCTGAACAACCATACAATTCACTGCTATTCTCAATAGTGTAGCATTTAATTTTACTGCTGCTTCTTCCAGAAATTAATCATCTTAAAATATAATATGATGATCACATTCAATACATGTATTTGTATAAGCACAGAAAAAAAGAATAAATGCTCGGAAGATTATTCGCCAAATTTTTAAGACTTGGTTTCCTTTGTTCCCTATGGTAGCCCAGGCTGGCCCTGAACTCTGGATCCTCCTACCTCTGCTTCCCAAGTGCTAGGATTATAGCATGTATCACAACATCCAGCAAGAGTGGTTTTGATGGAAATGGAATCGGAGGGAAAGGGCTCTTTTACTTGTAACTTTATACTCTTTTGAATAATTTGATTTGTAAAAATGAGTATGTGAATTAGTGTGTGTTTTCATTTGAGTAAATGACAATAAAGATTTAAAGTTAATAAATATCGCTCAGTGGTGCAGCACTTGCCTAGCATGTGTAAAGACCTGGGTTCAATTCCCAGCATTACCCGACCCAATAAAAGTTGATACATAAACTTTAAAATACTTTCTGGATTAACTACGGGGTTCCAGGTATTATGCTAGGAAAAGGCTGTGAAAATGAACATTCATAGTCCACGTTCTCAAGAAGTATAGTCTGGTGAAACAAGTGGGAAATTATAACCCAATCATAATAATGGTTTTATTATATTAGAATCCTTATTATGTGCCAGAAACTGCTCTAAGCACTTTACATTGTTAACTCTGATCTTTACCACACCATAGCAGTGAACTATGTTCTCTTATTTCCCTTATTTGGCAACTGATGGAACTGAGAAAAAGAATGGTTAAGCAATAAATTTGCTTAAGTTTATCCAGCTTATGAGCAGCAGAGCTGCTGGGGATTTAAACGTAGTTTAGACTGTATTTCCCCTTTAATAAAAATATCAGTGAGATGCAATACTTATTAAGTATTCTCCTCTGTTTCTCTGCTACAGTCTCCACAAATGTGCCAGAGGTTTTTTTTTTTTAAGTTAAGAGCAATAGTTTTGCTTCCTGGTCAAAACTCTCCAGTGGTTCCCAATCTCCCAAATCACAAGGTGGCTCTTAGAACATCCTATATGGCACCCACCTGATCAGAGCCATTGCCCCTCCTGGACCTCACTTCTACCACTCTCCCCCTCACTCACTCACTCTTGGCAGTTCACAAACTGGCCAGCATTCCTCTGCCTCCAAACTTTTGCTCTTGTTACTCCCTGCACCTAGAATGCTCTTCCCCCAGATAGCTGCATGGCTCTCTCACTCTCACTCAGATCTCTACTGTCAACCATCAGACAGGCCTTACTTTACCTACATAATATAGAACTCCATCCTCATCTGCACTCCCTATCCACCTTTCATAGGTATATGATTATTATTAGCATTTAAAACCCTCTGAGTACTTTATACTTATTTGATTATTGCCTGTCTCCCTTCACTACAATGGTGAAGATTTTGCCTTTTATTCACAGGCTTATTGCTTTTTTGGCAGAACTAGGTTTGAATTCAGCTTTACACTTGCAAAGCAGGCGCCCTATCACTTGAGCCACACCTCCAGCCCATTTTGCTGTGGTTATTTTGGAGATGAGGGTCTCACAAAACTATTTGAGTGGGTTGACTTTGAACCACAGTCCTTCCAATCTCAGCCTCCCAAGTAGCTAGGACTAGAGACGTGAGCCACTGGCACTCAGCCACAGGTCTATTTTGATCATGCAACATACAGTGGTTGCTCAGGAAATATCTGTTGATAGCTGGGAGTGTACCTCAGTAGTACAGTACTTCTCTATAATGTACATGAGACCCCAGGTTCAATTCCCAGCACTGTAAAAATGAATAAAAATAACAACAATGACCAAAAAAACCCCAAAGTCTGTTGAATGAATGAATAGCTGATTGACTAAATATGCTAATTTTTTCAGGAATCTGCCAGTCTCCCCTTTTTGTACTTCTAATTCATTTTTTAATTCACTCTGAACTGGTTTCCACACTTACTATTTCACCAAAACTGTTCTTGTCAAGGTCACCAATTACCTATAAATTGCTAAATGACATATTTCTGTCCTCATTTTATTTGGATGTCTTAATAATAATTGATATAACTACTGTCTCTATCCTGGAGATGATATAACTCCAAAAGCACAAGACAACCAAAGCAAAAACGTTAAAAATGAGATCAAATCTTCTGCACAACAAAAGAAACAGTCAGCAGAATTGTTGGAGGGGTTGTTGAAGAGACAGACAACCTACAGAATGAAGGAACATATACTCAAACTATTCACTTGACAAGGAATTAATATTCCCAAATATAAAAAGAATTCAAAGGAGCCAACAACAAAATAATAATAATAATAATATGCTTTAAAAAGGGGCAAATGATCTGAATAGTCATTCCTTTAAAAAGAATACGCAAATAGCCAACATGTATATGAAAAAATGTCCAATGTCATTAATCATCAGGGAAAAGCAAATCAAAGCTATAATGAGATATCTTACTCCAGTTCAATGGAGTAAGATAAATTAACAAATGCTGATAAGAATGTAGAGAAAGGGGAACTCTCAAACACTGTTGGTAGGAATGCAAATTAGTACCAATGTACTAATGTAGTATATTATTACTACATTGTATTAATGTAGTATGTAATTACTAATGTAGTAATTATGGAAAATAGAGTGGGGATCCTCAAAAAAACAGAAATCAAAGTAACATATGACCCAGCAAGCCCATACTAGATATAAAACTAAAGGAATCAAAATCACACTGTCAAAAACACATCTACCCTCCCATAATTATTGCAGTACTATTCACAAGAGGTAAGATATGGAATCAATGTCCAACAACAAATGAATGTATAAAGGAAATTTGTAGACACACACATACACATACACAAAGGAATATTATTCAGTTATGAGAAAGAATGAAATTCTTCCATTTGTGGTAACATGGATAGAACTGCAGAATGTTATGTTAAGTAAAATAAGTCAGGCTCAGAAAGACAAATGTGACGTATTCTCACTTGCATATGGAAAATAAAAAGCTTATCCTATAGAATCAGAGCTTGGGAATGGTGTTGAGGAGATGGAAGGAGAGATAAAGGATGGTTAATTGATAAAGAGATGCAGTTGGACAGGAGGAATATGTCCTAATGTTCTGTCCCAAGTCAGAAACCATGGATGACAACAATTAATTGCATATTTCAAAACAACTAGGAGAGAGGATTTTGAATGTTCCCAACACAAAGAAATGATGTATGTGTGAAGTGACAGAAATGCCATTGCCCTGATGTGATCCTTACATGTAGTATGCAAGTAATGAAATGGCAGGCTGAACCCCATAAACATGCACAATTATGTGTCAATTAAAAGTAAAAATACATTTAAAAAATCAACTTAAAAAAGAGACCTAAGGTGAAGATGAAAAAGTTCTGGAGATCTGCTTCAAAACAACATAAATATACTTAACACTACTGAATTGTATACCTCAAAATGGTTATCATAACAAATTTTATGATATGTGTTTGCCACAATAAATATTTTTAATGGTTAAATTCTAAATGATGAAGCATTTTATAATATTTATGAATGCTCTTCTGAGTGGTATATAACAAAATGGCACTCATTACAGTGATAGAATCACAGAATCTGATGAAATATAGATATTTTTTAAAGTTCAGAGAATGCTATATGTTAACAATCTGTCAGTTATTTGAACAGACAATTGTCTCTCTTGCTAGATCTAGTCATTTCGCTTTAAAACATTCTTGACAAACTCAAGATACATAACATATGACCGTAACAGGTACATATGAAAATAATTAGAAATAAAACAAATGGATATAAGTCTCTTTTTCTATAGGGTATTCTCTAATTTACTCTCCTCTCAGAAAACAGAGAATGAGAAACAGAAACCAAGGAACAATGGTAATCGTGAATAACAATGTAATATTGAAAGGAAGGGAAAACAGTATAGACTTGGCAATATGGAGGAAAGTCAAACCAAAGTTTGACTTTACAGAAAAGCCCAATAAAAGTAAACTCTTTTGCCCCAAAAACTATAGAAAGCCTCAGAAACAAGAGGCCACAGGTTCTGCTGAGATAGGATACAATGGACTATTACAAACAACTACATGCTAACAGTCTGGAAATGTAATAAAACATTCATGTCTTATGTAGTTTGAGGTAATATGCTTCTTGCCAATTACTACTATACTACTTTTTAACAAAGACTTAACTATAATCTCTTTAGAAAATTTAATATTGACATAAAGAAAATGATTTGGTAATTCCCATTATAAAAATATTTTTACCTGCAAGAAGTCAGTCTGCATACAAATGCTAGACAACTTTGGTGTCAGAAGGCAAGCATCTGTCATGAAGTTTTCATAGTCAATGTTATCTGGAAACTGACTGCATCCTAGCTGTGAGCTGTTTCCTCTGACCATTAAACCACTACTAGCTGATCCTTTCACTTAATGCCCTTGAAACTCAACAGACTATTATTAAAAATAAAAACTATGTAAGCATATATTGACACATATTCACAATGTATACACATAGAAAATAATATATAATTTGTTTTATTAAATATTACTTAATGAAAATAATTACCAGAGGACTAATACTGAAAACAAGAAACATTCCTATTATTCTAAAACATGTAAGTATAATTACTTTAAAGTGCATTAGTTTAATTACATTCAAGTTCAGCATCAAGAAGTATGAATTTTTATTGGTGTATGATGTTTGCTCATTAAGGTAGGAAGACTTAGTTGCTCCTTTATGCTTCTACTATATATCACATACATTATATGTAACATAACATAATGGATTAATCATTTTATACTATGATGAAGTTTCTCTTTATTTACTATTCTGTAAGCTTCTTAAGGGCAGAGACCATTTTGCTTCATCTAGGTATCACCTGCACTCAATACAGGAAGCACCAATAAACACACAATAGAAAGGGAGGAAAGAGAAGGAATGCAGGAAGCATTCTCCTTTGCTCAAGGTTTCTGTAGACTATCAGGTTTAACAGCACACTAGCTAACTACATATGGATAATGGGCTCTCTAAAAATGCCTAAGGGTATAAACAGAGCAGACTTGCTCTCTCAGTCTATTGTTCCCTCACAAAGTGGCCTGCTTTCATGCCTCAAATACCTTTCTCTGCTGCCCCCTTGAGGGTTTTAGAATTTTTAATCCATACAGGGTAATAAAGCCTATCTAAAATGTAGAAAGATAAGATTGCTAATAGAACCAAAGGAATACCCATAAAATATTCATTTATTTCTAACTGATGAGTTAACAAAATGACAATGACATATAATCTGAAAATATTCTTATTCAACAACAAAGATTCTAAATTATATTTGAATAGAAAATCAAATCTAAAAGATCAAAATGCCCTTTATATAAGGACTTTTGGTGATAATACTTTTTTTGTGTGTGTAGCTCTGGGGATCAAGATCAGGGCCTCACATATGCTAGGCAAGTGTTTTATCACTGAGCTACACTGTCAGCCTGAAAATCTTCTGAATTTAAAAATGTACACATTTCAATAAAAACAAGTCTCAGCTGTTAAGCATTCTGCTTTGTCTGATAGGGAATATCTACGCTCCCCCAGGAACACAGGTGCCTTGTCTTTTAGGCTGCCATGTAGGTTTCTTCCAGAAGTATGTTAATCTATTTCCAAACATTCTGTTGTCTCTAACGATTCTTGATGAGGAGTAGGTAGCACTACTTACAACTTGGGCCCTATGTGTTCTAGTAACTTAGGCTATGTAGTAGAAGTGGTGGAGGAGACTATATGTTAAAGGCAATAAAGATATTTCTTTTATTCACCACAAGGCTTTGAAATTTAACTATGTATGGATATTGCATATGCTGCTTTGTTAGCTCACTAGTAACATAAAGAAGATTCAAGACAAAAAAGGAGATAGGGTTAGGAATTCTTAGGCTGGGGATGTAGCTCAGTGGTATGGCACCTGCCTAACAAGCATATAGGCCCTGGGTTCAATTTTCAGCACTGAAAAAAAAAAAAAACTTGTCTTATTCTTAAAACCAGGTCATTTTATTATGCTAATTTTCTGCCTCTGGAAACTCTAATACCTGTGTTAAAACACACAACACACGCGCGCGCGCGCACACACACACACACACACACACACACACAAGTATGGTCAGAGAATTAGGCAAATCAATGTTCCTCACAAATTTTACCTTAGGGTCACAAGTTTTTCGTATTTGCTTAGGAATAACAGCTGGAAAAGCAGTTTCTTCTTCACTTCTCAAGGAAAACAACTAGAATAAAATATCAGTAAGTTATCTAGTTTACTAAAATAGTTCTGCAGCTGGTTCATGATTTTGATGGGAAAATGTGCAACTTAATGGTAAGTTTGTTCTTTGAAAATATAATTGCTATGTCCATCTTCTTTACTGTATACATACATATACAAGCTATCCCTGACCAAAAAAAAGGTAATCTGCTAATTAATTTTAAAACGCATCATATTAGAAAATTCTGATCCTAAATTTTTATTGGAAACTTTTAACACTAGAATAAATTGTTGACTTCATAATAAATCACTGATAAAACCTAATATTCTGTTAATGTGAACCATTTAGTGAAAATTTAATATAATTCCATTAATATACAAAATTTTTATGTTTTCATGTATTAGTTAAAAAATAAATTAAGCTGGGCATGGTGGTGCATGCCTGCAATCCCAGCACTTGGGAGGCTCAGACAGGATGATGGTGAGTTTGAGGCTAGCCTGGGCTACACAGCAAGACCTTGCCTCAAAAATTAGCTAAATAGGGGGCCAGGTGTGGTGACTCACGCTTATAATCTCAGCTACATGTGAAGCATTCATAAGCTCGTGGTCTGAGGCCAGCCCAGGCTTTTTTGCCCTATGTGGAAAAATAACTAATGCAACAAAGGGCTGGGGCATGGGTCCAGTGATAGCGTGTCTACAAAGCAAGCACAAGGTCCTGAGTTCAAACCCCAGTACTGCCAAAAAAAAAAAAACTAAGTTGTTACTTAATTAAAAGGGCTGGGGGTATAGCTCAGTGGTAGAGCACTTGCTTTGCATGCTCAGACCCTGGTTTCAACCTCCAGGTCTCAAAACAAATATTAATATGAAGTTAAAGGAGGAAAAAGTATAAACAGTATAATGAATCATCTCGCAATGATAAAACATGATACAATGACAATTACTCATTTTCAGTTCAAGCAATATATTGAAAAATCATAATTTTAACATGAATGCCTTCCTCAGCTGCTGCCAAGATGCTTGATCCTTCCAAGGAAGCTAAGGCCACACTGGGGAGGCCCTAATTTCACCCAGCAGTCACAGCACAGCCTCCAACTGCAAGTTTGCCTGCATCTACTCTGCCTTATCCTGCACAATCATGAGGTGATGGTCATGAGGATAACAGCAATGCCCTCATTAAAGCAGCTGATGTAAACATTGAGCCTTTTTGGCCTGATCATTTGCAAAGGCCCTGGCTAGTGTCGGACTGGGAGCTGCATCTGCTGTGGCGAGCTGGAGGACCTGGTCTGGCAGCTGGTACTGTACCAGCAGGAGATCCTGTCCTCTACTGCTGCTGTTCCAGCTGAGGCGGAGAAAGTGGAAGCAAAGAAAGAAGAATCTGAGGAGCCTGGAGATAACATCACACTTCTTTTTGACTAAACCTCTAAACCTCTTTTGTAACATGATCAATAAAATGCTGAACACTGCAAAAAAAAAAGAAAAAGAAAAAGAAAAATGGGGAGAAAATATTTTCTCAACAGACACAGAGGCTATATATTTTTTCAAATAATAGTCTCTTTCCTTTAATATCAGAATATATTACCACAACTATCAGCAACTAGTTCTTGAAAACATTCAATTCATATTGAGAATTATAACTTTCTCACACAGTGAATTTTGGAAATTAATTCACATGGTACTTTCTCTGCTGGGACAGCTCCTTTGCTACATATAGCTAATGATACTTAGAAAAATCAGGCCGAGGTGGCATGCGTCTTCAAAGAGCACTGACTGACTGTTGAGAGCACCTTCTATCACCAGCATACATGAAAAGGTTATTTCAGAGAGCAGTAGTAAAGAACCATTACAAATACAAATGTAGTCCTTTTCAATATGAAAATCAGACTTACAACATTTTTATTGTGAAAGACTGTGTTTTTTAATGTTCTTCACTGCTGTGAAATTACAACAGATTTTTGGAAATGTGTTAAAATTAACACATTTTCTTTCTTTTTTTTTCTCTTTGGTGATACTAGGGTTTAAACTCAGCTTTGCACTTGAAAGGCAGGCTCTAACACTTGAGTCAGGTCCCCAACACCTGGTTTATTTTAAATGGAACTCAATCTGGGGGAAAAATAGTGATAGTGTTGATCTGTAGTTTATACTTTGGAATAACTGTTCTAGAAAAAGTTAAAATTATTTTTTCAGAAAAAATAAGAATGTGATCATTTGCAGGCTAAATTATTCAATTACTAATTGTTTAAGATCTTATAGATTTGATCTTGTTGTAATGGAAGCGACCTGCAGATGCAGTTGTCAGTGATGAGTCACAGGTTTGGTAATGTTTGCAAGTTTGCAAAATTAACTTTACAGTAAAGGATCTGTTATTTAACCAAATCGAATTGATCATGCAGAACATTTATAAAAACAATAACAAAAAAAAAAGGACAGCAGGCTAATATAAACAAGGGTAATGAACTACAAGTAAAAGGTAGTAAAAACTGACAATATATAATGAAGCTTATATTCCATATCTGTATGTACAAATATAATTTTTGGCTCTTTTACAATTTAAAAGGTAACTCACTTGCAGACACTCAAATGGTTCACTTGGTTCAACTTCATTTTCTTTTAGCATCTTAGAAAAGAATATTAATATAAGGTAAACTAAAGGCAATAATAACTGACCAAAAAAAGATATAAATTTCTATTAGATATAAGAAATACAAGAACACCATCACTAGTAAGAAATAAAAACTAAAATGTTGGCAAATCATAAAAATCTTCATAAATAAAGTGAAATAAATATTCTAAGTATAAAACATTAAGCATTTTAGATTTGATAATAGTAGGAACCTAAGAAAGTTGCTTTTACCCTTTGAAGTAATTAGCTCCACTCTTAGGAATAAAATCTAAGGAAAGATCTTTTTTTTGTTTCTTTTGTTTTTGATTTTTAAGCATTATTGGGGTTTGAACTCAGGGCTTTGTACTTGAGAGGCAGGAACTCTACCATTTGAACCATTCCGCCAGCCCCTAAGGAAAGATCTTAAAGTACAGCTGGATGCTGGTAGCTGACGCCTGAATCCTAGCAACTCAGGAGGCAGAGATTTAGGATGATCAAGTTTCAAGGCCAGCCCAGGCGAAAATGAAAGCAAGACCCTATTTCGAAAATACCCAATGCATAAAAGGGCTGGTGAGTTGCTCAAATTGTAGAACATCTGCCTAGGAAGCATGAGACTCTGAGTTCAAATTCCGTACTGCCAAAAAAAAAGTACAAGCAACAATTCATGTGCCAAAACATTTACTGAAGTATTACTGATAATTAGAAAATGCTGCAAATAATCTAGATGTCCAAACTAGCAAACTGTTTGGAGCATACACTATCCATAGGATGAAATTGTTAGAAACTTTAAAAAGTATATTTAAGAAGAATTCCTAATAATGTAAATTAATACAATATTTTATAATGGGGAAAGGATAAAAAGTACATACCTCAACTTAACCATACTTTTTATATAGGCACACAAAAAAGTCTGGAAATGTTAACAATCATTATATTTGGGAGATAGTATAACTTTTTTTTTCACCACTGTTTTCTGTACTTAAGAAAGAATACTCTGGTTTCTATTCAAATTGTATAAATCACCTTACAAAAAAAAAAAAAAAAGTTGGACATGGTAGCACAGTTCTGTAGTTTGAGCACTCAGGAGGCCGAGGCAAGAGAATCATGATTTCAAGGTCAGCCTGGGCTACATAGCAAGACTGTGCCTCATTAAAAAAACAAAATAGTTGGAGGAATGGCTCAAGAGGTAGAGCACCTGCCTAGCAAGGGTGAGGCCCAAATTCAAATATCAGAACCACAAAAATTAATTAATTAATTAAAATAAAAAGGACTGAAGAAGGAAGGAGACAGGAGAGGGAGAGGGACAGGGAGAAAGAGAGGGAGAGGAGAGGAGAGGAAGAAAGATATCAGTATTACTAAAAGGCAAAAAATGGGCCAATACCACCAAAAATGTGTTACTTAGATGTGCATACTCATTATTTAATACTAGTAAGCACTTAATCAGTGGAACTGTTAATATTTTGGCCAAGGAATACAATGGAAAAGTTACTAAGATATAATGGGGAGTCATGAACCAAATAGCCTGGGACCCTCTGAATTACTACAGTTCCACTACAAATTACAGAACATTCATTCTTCTCAAAATAAAACAAATAGCTAGAAAAAATACATAAATACCTGTTGAGAATCCTGCTTTAGATAAGAAGACACTGATAGAGCTTGTGAAACAACTGTAGCAAATGGTTTCCTAGCTGTAATGGAGAAAATAAAACAACCTTATTCATCATATGCACAGTAGTACTTTAAGAAAGTTTTAGCCAGGTGCCAGTGGCTCACACCTGTAACCTAGCTACTCAGGAGGCAGATTATCAGAAGGATCGTGGTTCGAAGCCAGCCCAGGGAAATAGTTCATGAGACCCTATCTCGAAAAACTGTTCACAAAAAAAGGGCTGGTGGAGTGGCTCATAGTGTAGGCCCTGAGTTCAAGCCCCAGTACCACAAAAAAAAAAGTTTAAAACATTTCTGAAACAGAAAGAAACAAGGAAATATAATAGATTTGAAGGTGAAGCAAAGTCTTGATAATAGTTTCATCTGGATTATGGATAATGAGTCAGTGTAGGTTAGAAATATTTCATGGTTAAATATTCAAAAATATTTAGAATGAAAGCCTTGTTGGTTACTTTCTAAATCAGCATAGGAATGTCTCCATGTACATTGTTTTCCACAGTAATTTAAAAAAATAAATATAAGCCAAGAGCTAATAACCTATATTAAAAATACCAAAAATGAAATACTGACCAATTTTTATGAGCAAGAAAGCCAAAACAACCATTATACTACTTCTGTGTGCAATCACAGAAAAGAAAAAAGTACCTACATACTATTTCTGAGATTCTCTAAAATTCATTTGACTACCACTTGGAATAATTTTTTATTCATTCAACAGTTATTTTCTAAGTTCAGCATGCCATCCCTGGGGAAGCAGAGGTGTGTAAGACAAACAAAATCTCTTGAAAAGAGAGGGACCCAGAAGATAAACAATTAAACCAGAGAAATTCAGACTGTGACACAAAAGGGTATCACATAGAAAGGTGATGCAATGTAGAGAGTAATTTTACATAGGGCAATCAGCACAGGTCTCCCATGGGAAGTTACACTTAAATGAAGACCTGAAGAAAAAAACAGCTATACCACAGATAAAAATGCTCAGATAAAGACAGAACAAAACAGAGTGTGAAGCAAAAAAGTTGGCAAGTGAGAAGAATGGAAAGGACAGCAGGGTGGCAAGTCACAGTCACCTTATAATAGAAGTAGGATTTTTTTCAGCAGAACATGGGGGTACACACCTGTAATCCCAGCTACTTGGGAGGTGAAGATTGGGAAGATCATGGTTTGAGGCCAGCCCAGGGGAAATAAGTTCACGAGACCCATCTCACCAAAACAAGCCAGGAATGGTGATTCACACCTGTGATCCCAGCCATGTGGGAGACTTAAATGTGAGGATCACGGTCCAAAGTCGGTCCCCGGGCAAAAGTGCAAGACCCTACCTAAAATATAACTAAAACAAAAAAGGGCTGGGGGTATGGCTCAAGTGGCAGAGCCCTGGCCTAACAAGTACAAGGCCCTGAGTTCAAACCCCAGTAATGTGACCCCCACAAAAAAAAATTAGGATTTTTTCAAGTTTGGGACATAGCTCAGTAGTGTAAAGCATGTGGGAGGCTCTGAATTCATGTAGGTAGTCCCTAGCACTACCAACAAACAAAAACTTAAGATTTTGTTTTTCTTTTGGTGGTACTGGGGTTTGAACTCAGGGCCTCACGCTTGGTAGACAGGTGCTCTACCACTTGAGTCACTCCACTAGCCCAATATTCATGTCTTAAAAGGAAAAATACACATCCAGTAATCTTTATTTCTTTTAACATAACAAGAAGAGTATAATCTCAAAGTGATTATTATTCTATAAAAAGTCATAGCTGTATCTGGTATAAAATTCATTTCAGGCAATTCTTATTTCTGGGTTTATTTTCCTGTTAAACTGCAAAGCAAATAAAAATAAATGGATTTTGTGACTTGATGTTATTGCCAAAAAGTTTTTGAAAGGCATTGGATGCAAATTGATTTTTTTCCTTTATTGCCATCATTCCAGAATAAAATTCTAAATTAATGTTTCTAAACCATATTTAATCATCTCACAAAAATTTTTAATGGGAGATTTTTAAAAAATTTTTTCACGTAATTTTTGAAACTGTTCTAAGAAGGCAGGGAGTGGTAAATCTAACTAAGATATATTGTAAGCACTTTTGTAAATGTCACAATGTACCCACAGTACAAAATAATAATAAATAAATAAAAGAAAAAATATTTTCACATATTCCAAACTGGTATAAAATTGATTCTTTTCTAACTCTATTAAACTCCATGAAATTACTTATTATATTCCAATAGATTTAATTTTCTCAAGTTGTCTCAAAAAAACCAATTCAATCTTTTTAGAGAAATATATTTATATCAAAGTCAATCCTCATTACTCAAGGGTTCCGTGTACACCCCAGCATTTACCTATAACCATAAAATCAATACCCACAGTGTTTCATGGTCACTTAAGACAAGCACAGGGCAGCCAAAAATGAGTTGCTTAAATCGCACATTCCCAACAGGGCAACACACTCCCTTGTTTTAGCTTATAATGTAAACAAATGTCTTTTCTGTGGTCTGTTTGGTACCGATTTTTTCACATCTTTGTGCTTTTTAATTGTGATTTCACTGTTTTAAATGTGCCCTAAGAATAGTGCTATCTAGTGTTCCAAAGTGCAAGAAAGCTATGATGTCTCTTAGGGAGAAAATATGTGTAATGAACAATGGTGCTGTTGGCTTTGAGCTCCATGGTAATGAATCAACAATCACATAAAATAAGGTCATGTTTGATGAGCTGATGAGTATGCTTTGACCTAACCTATGCTTCCTGCAACAGCAATGATTCATTATTTGCTAATTTGGCAGTTGCAGCACTTCACAGAACATAACTACCCCAAATTATCAACCATAATCCTCACTTCTTTTGAGTAGTTTTCCCAAAACTAAATTTTATAATTCCTAAATATTCACATTAAAATTTTACATCCTTCTAGCAAGTGTGAGGTTGTGGGTTCAAACCCCAGAACCACCAAAAAAAAAAATTACATTCTTATATGACATCATGTAACAATATCTACCTATATTTATTCTTCATTAAAATTCACTTATTTTTAATTTTTAAAAAAAATAAACTAACAGCTATTATCAAACTTAACTATATTTCAAAGAATTCCAGGAGGAACAATAATGTATTCCTACTTTTCTCACGAATCACTTGAGATAATTCAAATAAAGTTTCAATTTTAACTTTTGTTTGCTTAAATTCAAATATATACAATATTTACTATTGCACTGTTAAAAAATTCAATGCTATTAGCAGTATATCACAGGCAAAGTCAAAAGACCAATGACATACTGAAAGAAAATATTTGCAAAACATATCAAAGAAGATTACTATCTCTTTAAAGCACTTTATAAATAAAAGACCAATCCTCATTTATAAACTGGACAGGGAAAACCATTCATAAGAAGGATGAAATTATGCTTAAAAATACAAAAAAAAATGCTCATTTCATTTACTAGAAAGTGATTCACTAAGGATTCATGAACTTTACAAATATATACTGGTGTAAGAATTCGGAAACTATTTGGTGCATACTGTAGAACTGAGGAAGTAAGTATACTAATGTTTTGAAAACCAGGGTCCTTTCATACTGTGACAGTAAAGAAACACAATTATAGAACGGAAGAGAGAGGAAGAACCCTGTGGGTGCAGGAATGGCATTAAAGGTGTAACTACAGGGAGGGGGTGGGGGCAGTGGGGAGAAATGACCCAAGCCTTGTATGCACATATGAATAATAAAACAAAACAAAAAAAGGTGTAACTACATAAAGGCGTATGTATTTGAGCACGTTTTTCAGATCAGAAATACTTAACCTGTACATACTTTCACTCTCATGTGCCAATATATGTGTATTCTTCATATGCACAGAGTATTTCTGGAAGATACCCTAGCAGGAGACTGTGGTGAATTCTGAGGAGTAGACTGAGAAGGGAGTATGATAGGAAGGAGACTTGTTTTTCACTACATTATTCTCTGTTAGAATTGGTTTTGCCAAATACATGTTTTACCAGTTTAAACACTATGTAACTCTTTAATGTAGAGTAAATATCTTCCACTCTTTGAGATAAAAAGAGAATAATCCAAAACAGACACATTATTCTAACCTTCAGGACTGCTATCTGGCTCATATGTCTGTTCAGTTCCTTGTCGTTGAAAAGCAGTGTTTTTCTTTTTCAGAACTTCCAAGCTTTCTAAAGCTGTACTGTGTTCAGACAAGGACTTTAAGAGGGACATGTTATTTACTATTCCAGAATGTTCTGAACAATTTTGAGAATTATCCCAGGATTGTTCGCTTTTTCTTGCTGTTTCAACTTCAATATGGTCATGGAGTAAATCTCTAATCCTTCCTAAATCTTCAAATTCAGGAATAAGTGTTTCTGTCTTTTGGAAACAAGATTGTTTTTTCCCAGAAGGTACAACAAAGAATTGGAAACTTGGGTATTTGATTTATCACATGCAATACATTCAGAGTGATCCTGATTGGTATTTAATAGTTGGTTACTGTTGTCACTGCTAGAGATTAGAGGCGAAACCTGTTCATCATTTTTGTCTAAGTCACTTCCCAAAATAAAAGACTGAGGTTGAGCATCTTCTGAAGATATGTCATTATTTTTAGGAGTCTGAATAGTAACTGTGTTTGAAAAATGAGGAATATGTAAATTCCTGTTTATACCTTCAGACTTATTCAAGGGTGAATCAAAATCATAGCTAACTCCAATTTTTTGGATAGATTTCTCAGTATCTTCTTTGCCATCTACATCATTCCACTCTAACGATGAGTCAAAATTGCTTAATGTGTCACTATACTGTTCCTCTATTGCTTTTCCACTGTTTCTCTCTTTATAAGGTCCTGAGTCAAACCCCACACAAGTTCTATCACAAAACTCTGACAGCAGAGTCTCTTTAATAGGACATATCTCTGTAGCTTTGCCACCAACAGATGTTAAGAGTGGTAAATGTTCACTATCAATTTTTTGACAGTTTATATCCTCACAGCTCTTTTGAACAAAGGAATTGCCATCATTAACCAAAATTTCCTTTTCCAAACTCTCTGAATCCTGGAAATCTTTGTTGCTTTCCTGTGATTCCTCCTCAGTATCACTGGTCTCAAAACTGCTTAAATTAAAAGTTACCTCTAGAAATGGATGTGAAGGTCCATGAAAAGTATTCAGACTGTCACTATGAGTATCACTTTTAGAAAACATGTCTGTAATGTCCTCAGAGATTGCAGAGTTGTTACCTACAGAAGATTCAATTTGTAGATGTTCTGATTCTGCCAGAGATGACTCTGGTTGGTACTCCTGTCCTGGTGTTCTATATGGATTTACCTCCTGAGCATTTTCTCTAATGCAAACTGATCCTTCCATGCACATCTTGTCATTGTGACTAAAAGATAATTTATTTTCTTGAATGTCATATTTTGATAATAAATCATTTTCTGCACTTCTACAACTAATCAGTAAACTGCTCCTTTCACAGAATGAAGGAATTTCTATTTTTTTTTCTTGATTCCAGAATTGATCATTATTATTTACTGGCTTGTCTTCATTATACTTTTCCCCCCTTTCAGCACATGATTCAAAGATCTGTACATTTTTTTGTACCAAAAGGTCTTTCAAGTTCAAATTTGTATTATCTTTTGGGGCTTCAGGCTTTCTTCCTGTATCATTCTCTTCTATAGTAGAACATTCAGGTGAACTCTGAGAGGGTAGATAAAAGGCCCACTGGCTTTTATTTTTCATGGTATTTTCTGACTGATGCTCACAATGTAAATTTTCTGTGCCCTTTGCCTCAGCACACTCTTCCTGTTGAATTAAGTACTTTGGTTCAGCAGGAATTTTTAACCTTCCTTGTGGTTGTATCTGTCCTGTAATCTCAGGATTTAAGTCTTTACAGGTAATAGTTGATTTAGACTTCAGAAGAGCTAATATCTGTGCTTTGCTTCTGATGTTTTGTGAAACTTCTTGACAGTGAGGCTCACTGGTCAGTAAAGAGATGGAATGCTGACTTTTGGAACTGATAGGAGAGAAAAAAGAATTTTCTTCGCTTAGCATGTTTGGGTCAATCTTGAAGGCTGAAGTAGAAACAAATGAAGAAGGCATGCCATTCTCCTCTGTGTTCCTGTTAATGACAGTATTCTCAAGGTCTACTGGCATATGACTTATATCTTTCTTGTCTACAGGAGAAAACAAAGCAGGTATGCTGTAGAATGGAGGAAAAAAGGTAGCACCAGGTTTCTCAGCCTCAAGTGATGCCGCTGATTTATCATTTTCTGTAAAAGCCATTTTCTTTGGGACCTGATGTGGTACTTGAAAACCCTGAAAACATTAAAATAATTGTTGGTTACACTATTATCTATAAAGAAAGTATGAAATAAATTGTCTTAAAAAAATAATAAAAATTAATGTGTATACTATGTCTAAGGCAAAGTAATAATTGATATTTAAGGTTTCACTAGGCACAGTGGGTCACACCTGTAATCCTCCCTACTTGGAAGGCTGAGATGAGAGAACTGCAGTTTGAGGCCAGCCTAGGCAAACAGTACATGAGACTTCATCTCTAATATAACCATGGCAACATGGACCGGAGGTGTGGCTCAAGTGGTAGAGCACCTGCTTTGCGAGCACAAGTTAAAACCCTACTCCCATTGCTAAATTAAAATATAAACATTTATTTGTTTAGTAAGAGTTTTCTAACTAGGATTTATTTCCTTATTACCTAAATAAATGATGAAACACCATTTTAATGGCACAGTACCATAAAAAATTCACTACTTTTTAAAATATATTTACAAATATATATTTCCATAGACAACTTACAGTATACTTCCTTTTTAAACCTGCAGGCTGACATCCAAGTGATCGGCCAGACGATATGAACTTCCTTGACCCCGGTGCTCCTTTAGTGACATTCTGTTTCATTACTGTGCTTCCAGAAACTCGAACCTCCTCAACTGTGATTAAGTATCGATCACTTTCTAAGTCATCTCCAGGTTTCACCTGAATTTTAAAGGACAAATGTCAAAGTTATACCCACGAGATTATTTTATTTTCATATTTACATATTGCAGTCCGAGATGAGGCCCACTGTTATGGAACAAGCAGAAAAAAATGCTTCCTCAAGGAATTCACTTAGAGTCCATACAACTAAATGTAATTTTTAAAAATTAGAGCAACCAACTCTAAAAGCCTTGTTCTTATTTTTTAGTGAGAGTGGGGTCTGAACTAATGGCAGGCGCTCTACCACTTAAGCCACTCTGCTGGTCCAGTTTTGTATTGGGTATTTTTGAGAAAGTTCTTGCAAACTATTTTCTGTGTATAGCTCTGAACAACAATCCTCCTGATCTCTGCCTCCTAAGTAACTAAGATTACAAGCATGAGCTACCAGCACCCATCCAATGTCATTATTTTTTACACTAAAATATACCTTCAGTTCTCTTCCTTTACTTTTTCCAGTAGGGGAGAAACACAGAATAAATATTTGAGAAAATACATAAGTGCGTTTTCCTGGCATGCATGATGTCCTGGCTTCAATCCCCAGCACCACCAAAAATATTAAAAATAAAAATAAAATAAAGTAAAATAAAATAAAATGGTCTGGAGATGTGGCTCAAGTGGTAGAGTACCTGCCTTGCAAGCATGAAGCTCTGAGTTCAAACCCCAAACCCCACTACCACTTGAAAAAAACAAAACCCTCATGGATAGAAATAGACTCTAGAATTACTACCACAACACTACAAATATAGGCAAGTTACTAAATTTTTCTGGGCTGTACTCCTAATGTAAAAAAAATCTGAACATTGTTGTTGAGATTAAAAGAAACAATATCTAAAAGCTTTTAGCACAAAATCTGGTTATAATAAAGTTACAACAAATAACCACTACAACTATTAGCATCAGTACCATTACTACACTATTATCAACATTTGTAAAGAAATATTACAGAAGTTTAAATTATAACTTAAAAATAAGATAAACATATTAAAATACCTCAAGGCACTTAAGAAACAGACTTTCCAAGCATGCTCCTTTATCATCATATAACGTTGCCTGTGTTAAAAATAAATAAAAGGAGAAATAATTCTGCTTTTCTTCAACACCTTTAATAGCAAATTAAAAACTATTATATAAGTAAATCATATAATGAAAGGAGTATCCACTTTGTTTAACTTGGAGTTGGAAGTGTATCTATTTCAAATGTTTATTACCAAGAGCATAAAGTCACACACATAAGAAATTCAAATCAGGAATGGGGGATAAAGAATGGTGGAGGGGGTGAATTTAATTATAATATATTTGACATTGTAAAAACTTTTGTAAATACCACAATGTACCCCCACCCAGCACAACAATTAAAAAAAAAAAAAAGAAACAGAAATTCAAGAACTTAATTCCTGGCAGGAATGGAACTGGGAAGCAAACCACAACTGGAATACACTAGTTGGGACAAAAGGAGACGGCATCATTAAGGGATATTTTAATAGTATGTGTGGTGCAAGGATGGGAAGGTGATTAGTGCTTGACAGAAGATACTGGTACTGCCGATGAGACAGCTATTTATGAGGTATGATAAATAATATTATTAGTACTCTCATCACTTTGGAAAACAACTTGGCAGTTCTTTAAAATATTAAACATAAAGATAATCACATGAACTAGCAATTCCTCGCCTGGGTATACACCCAGAAAAAGGAAAAACATGTCTATACAAAACAACTAAAAAATATAACCAACCCAAACATGAATAAATTAAATGGGAAAGAATATATCCATGCAATGGAATATTATTCAGCAATAAAGAATAAAGTATTGATACATGCTGAGGTGGGATGGGGAGGAGGTTGAAGGGGAGAGATGATGGGGGCGATGTAACTAATATACAATACAAGTCTAATTGGAAGTGTCACTATGAGTCCCCTTCCCATATAATGAATATACCTGAATAAAAAAGTTATAAAAAATAAAAAGATAAGTTGGGAGAATACATGAAAAAAAGTATGATAGATGCTTCACCACAGATGGATTTTAAAACCATTATACTAAATAAGAGTCATTAGGCTAGATGTGGTGGTACATGCCTATAATCTCAGCGCTCAGGAGGCTGAGGCAGGAGGATTGCAAGTTGGTGGGTTACGTGGCAAGTTCCTATCTCAAAAAAAAAAAAAAGCTCTTCACCAATCTGTATTACATAATTTCATTCATGTGAAATGTCCAGAATAGGCAAATCTACAAAGAATGTAGGTAGATTTGTGTTTGCTTAGGGGTAGAGGTTGAGGTCTAGGCTAAGCAGTGACTGCTAAGGGGTTGGAGTTTCTTTTTGGGGTGACAAAAATGCTCCACATTCTTTGTATAGATGGTTATAAAATTGTGAATTTACAAAAGTCACTGGGTGAATTAAAGACGTGTAAATTATATCTCAATAAAACTATTTGAAATTGGTATTTTGAGGGGCACTCTTCTGTTCCTTTACTCTTTCCTTTTTATACTCCTTCCCTACGCAATACCATACAAATTAATCACATTGCTCTTTTGCTCAAATCATTCCAGTGTCTCTACAGCTTCCTTAGAGTGAGAACAAAAGTTCTTACACTAGCCAGTAAGGCTTACCTACTCCTCCTAGATCATTCCCGCCCTTGCTCACTCTACTACAGCCACCCTGACCTCGTTCCCATTTGCCTCACCTGTTACACATACATATTCACTTAATTCACTGGTCTGTCTCCTCCATGCTATGTCTAAAAAGTGAGGGATTTATCTGTTTTGTTACTCACTGCAACTCCTTGAACAAGCATCTATGCTTGTTCTATGACAGGGCAGAGAAAAAGGAACTGTTATACTGTTGATGGGAATGCAAGCTAATGTAGCCGCATATGGAGGGTCCTCAAAAAGCTAAAACCAGAACTATCAAATGATCCAGCAATTCCACAACTGGATATATATCCAAAAAGAAATGAAGCAGCATACCAAAGAAATACCTGTATGCCCATGTTCACTGTGGCACTTATTCACACAGCTACAACATGGAATCAGCCCAGGTGCCTACCAACAGTTAAGTGGATAAAAACCATGCTATGTGTGCACATAAGAATATTATTCAGAATATTATTCAGCTGTAATTTATAGCAAAATGGAAGTGGAAATCATGTTAAGTAAACTAAACCAGTCACAGAAAGACAAGTAATGAATGTTCTCTCTCATGTGGAAACTAAAAAACATAGACATGAGAGTAGAATAATGAGTGCTAGGGATTAGGAAAGGTGGTGGTGGAAAAAGAATAGTTGGATATGAGCAATGTTTACTTTATGCATATATAGAAATACCATACTAAACCCCACTAATACATACAATTAATATGTGTTGATAAAAATAAAAAAAAATAAAAAAGCTGTATGTGCTAGTACACACCTGTATTCCTGGCACCCAGGAGGCAGAAGCAGGATGATTGTGAGTCCAAGGCCAAACTGGGTACATAGTGAAATCCAGGCTGGCCTGGGCTACAAAGTGAGACCCTACCTCAAATACTAACAACTAAAAGATAGAAAAATAAATAACCTTCTCCCCAAAATTAAATAACTTGCCCAAGACCACACATCCAGTAGTTGAAGAGACAGGCCTGAAACTAAGGTCCATTTGACATTTGATATTGACTGCTTCTCTGCACTGCCACATGTCGCATTTCACTTTTCCCACTGTCTACCAGCAATATGTTTACTGATTGATGACTCAATGGAAAATAAATAACTTTGACAGAATTTGGATAAATAGAGAAAACGATCTGAAACCAGAAGAAGATATGAAGGATATGCAGAATCCAATCAGATGTCCGTTAAATATCTCAAAGAATTTTAAGGCTTTAAATTATATACAATAGCATTAGATAGTGACGCTAATAATCAGACATTAAGTGATGAATTAAAGACAAGTGATTTAAAAATATGGATGTGGTCAGGACTGGACATTCATCTATTTAAGTAGAAAAAACAGACAAGATATGACCTGAACATACAGATATCAAGAATGACACCAGTCCCCTTTGAAAGAGCACAGACTTCTGAAGATCCTGTTGTAACTACAACTGAACACATGGTCCAATATGTCCCTTGATGGCGCCTATAGAGTTACCCTGAGCCCTAGGTCTCAAGTATCAGCCCAAATTGAAGTAACTTAAGTTCACTGACAAGGTAACTCCAATTTACCTGGGAGAGTAACATTTTCTTTACTCAATGAGAAAGGACCTTTAAACTCTTGGAACATTTAGAATTGGATATAGTGATAAAGAAGTAATTCAAAGTAAGAATATTAATACTTTTGAATTAAGATCATGAATAGTGTTTAAGCCAAGTGCTGGTGGCTCATGCATGTAATCTACTTACTTGGGAGGCTGAGATGAGGAAGATTGTGGTTCAAAGCCAGCCCTGGCAGGGAGTTCATGAGACCCCCTCTCAATCAATAGCTGGGTACAGTGGCTATGTCTGTCATTCCATGCTATGTGAGAGACTAAGATGCAGGGAGGATCCCTATCCCAGGCCAATGAGAACCCATTTAAGTGGAAAAATGCTGGGCATGATGGTGCATGCATATAATCCCAGCTATGGAGGACTGCAGCCCACACCCACCTGGGCAAAAAGTGAGACCCTATTTCCAAAATAACCACAGCAAAAAGGGCTGAAGGTATGGTTAAAGCAGTAGAGGACCTGCCGCACAAACTGAAAGCCCTGAGTTCAAACCCTAGCCCACCATCCCCTCCCCCAAAAATGAATAGTGTTTGTATTAGTCAATTCAATATTAGGTGTTATGCTATTTTTAATTTTAAAATGTGATTTTTTTATTTTAAAAGAGAATTGTGATATTTTAGACAGTCTATATTTTAAATGTACCTAACAAATTACCTTTCTGACTCCAATTTAAAACATGTAATTGAGAAGTTCATTTTGTATATCCATTTTAATTGAAAGGAAGAAGTAAATTTTATTCAATTTATAAGAGTATTAGAATATCTTTAAAGCCTTTAAAATGAACTATATTCATAAGTTTAATTAATTAGAATTACTAGGACTTAAAGTACTTACGAAGATTTCATTAAAAGTAACTAAAATGCTACAGAAAGAAAATCAAAAAGATTAAATTTATAAACTTAATTTAAAATGCTTAAGGTAAATTACTTTGTTGGTTTGTTTGTTTTGAGATAGAGTCTCACTATGTAGCCCAGGCTGGCCTTGAACTGGTGATTTTCCTGCCTCAGTCTTCTGAGTGCAGGGAATACACCAACACACCTGGGTATGTTTGTCAGTAGACTGATTATTCAAAAGCATTAAGCTTTTTCAACTTAAATTGACTTAACATTAAACTAAAACCCCACTGAAAGTAATTGTTAAAATACATAGGTCTATAAATTTAATAGGCTTATATAAATTGAAAATGAAGACTTAAGGCAAAGCTAGTTCTTTTGTTTGCTGTTTTAATAAATGAAATACTAATTTTTAAAAATAAAATTAATCTGGGCACTAGTGGCTCATGCCTGTAATCCTAGCTACTCAGGAGGGCAGTTATCAGAAGGATCACAATTTGAAGCCAGTCTGGGCAAACAGTTTGAGAGCCCGTATCTCGAAAATACCTAATACAAAAAGGGCTGGTGGAGATGTTCAAGCTGTAGGACCTGAGTTCAAGCCCTGGTACCGCAAAAAAAATAAATAAAGTTAATAGTGTAAACAGTCTTTTCCCTATTAAAGAGCTTCCCTCAGTGATAACCTCACATTGAAAGACAAGGTACAATGAGGACAGAATATGGCGATATTTAACTGCGAGACTGAGGAGTATGGACTTCATTCAGGCCACACATGTCATCAGTGTGTCATTTATAATATCATCAAGTCAACTACCATAAAAACCTTTTTGAAATTAATAATATTAAGAGAGACAGAGTTAGGACATGGGCTCTGGAGCCAAGAAGCCTAAGTTCACTAATGACTCCTCCACTTTCTAGCTGTGAGATCCTTGGGCAAGCTACTTTACCTCTCTGTGCCTCAGTTTTATGTCAATAAAATAAAGATAAAATGCCTAACTTATAGGAGAATTATGCACACTAAGATGATACTTTAAAAGCATTATGCCTGGCACATAGTAAGCATTAGATAATGTAAGTTTGTAAATCAAAACAAGTTAAATAATACTTATTGAAGTTTTATAACATACAAATTAACAGCTGTGATATAGAATTTGAAATTTTCTATTTTCACATCATGTCAGGGTGTGACCATAGCTAACATTTTATCATCTAGAGCTTTCTAATGGTCAACCATGTAGTCAACCGCTTTGCACTTACTTTGTTTCCTAAGTGAGTGATCTTTCAGAATTCCATCTTGCCACACTTTTGACTTCTTCATCTTTTGATGAGTATACAGAACCTATTTCCAAAAGGACAAAAGAAAGGTTTCTATTTATACAGTGTTATTCAGTGTTATTTATATACTCTTGTACATATAAAAATATTTAAGATATCTTCTATTGAAATAAAAGCACAAGTATCATGACAATAACAACATTAATGAAAGAAAGACTCTGGAAGTGTAGCTTAATAAAAGAGTGTGTGCTAAGCATGTGTGAGACCTTGAATCCAATCTCCAGCCTCAAAAAAGAAAAGAAAAATTCAAACAAGAAAGAAGGGAAGAAAGCTAACTAGCTGGGAAGTAGTAAAGGCAGGGCAAGAAAGAACAATAAAATCTAAGGAAGAAATTGAAGTTAACTGAGCACCAAAAATAATTTTGAGCTTCTAAGTTATTAGCTGAAAAGGAAAAAATTGTTGGTTTACACAATACTCATGATTTGTATAGTTCTCAACATGCATCCAGAGACTCCTGGAGGTCTCCACAGACTTTATAAGTATCTATGAGCTCAAAACTATTTCTATAATGCTTTTGTCTTTATGTTCTCATCCCTTTAGGGTAAAGAGTGGAATTTCCCAGGGTTATATAGGGGCAATATGACAGATTCAATTGTAAATTGAATGCAGAAATAGATGAAAATCTAGCTGACTCCTACTACATCAAATGCTAAAGAAATTTACAAAAAATATATAACAGTGCTATTCCTCTTAATATTTTTCCTATTATTACTTTGAAAAAATTGTTTTTCATTAAAAAAAAGCCAGGCATAGCAAGCACAAAGCCCTAAGTTCAAACCTGTCTCGTTTAAAAAAAAAAAGCCAAGGTTTCTGTTTGCAATCCCAGCTACTCATGGGACAGAGGCAGGAGGACAAGACAGAGATCAGGAGTATCATGGTTCAAAGCCAGCCTGGGCAAGTAATTCACAAGACTCTATCTCAAAAATACCTAACACAAAAAAAGGCTGGTGGCATGGCTTAATTGGTAGATGGCCTGCCTAGCAAGTGTGAGGCCCTGAGTTCAACCCCTAGTACCACTCTAAAAAAAACAAAAACAACAAAAACAAACCAAAAAAAGGAGTGGGGCATAGCTCACAATAAATAAATGTTAATATGTAATGAGTTTTTTTTTTTTTTTTCTTTTTGTGGTACTAGGGGTTGAACTCAGGGTCTCACACCCACAAGGCAGGGGCTCTACCACTTGAGCCATGCCCCCAGCCCTGTTTCTGGGTCGCGCTTTTTCCCAGGGAACTAAAGATCCTCTTGCCTCAGAAGTAGCTGAGATTACGGACATGCACCACACCTGGCCTTATACCAGGTCTTCAAGAAGGAAAAAAAAAGACAAAACCTATTTCCTAGTCCCAAGCTTCCAAAGAATTTGTTTAAAAGGGCTTTGTATAATAAATATGAATAATAAGCAAGAGACAGGACTGCTAGACAGAACACAGTACAATATTTGAGATCCATATATACTAAAAATCTATTCATTATCTGAAATTCAAATTTGGCTGGATATATTGCTTTTTGCTTTTTTTTGCTAAATCTGGCAACATTAGCAAGACAATGGAGAAAGAAAAAGAGGAAGGAAGGAAAGAAAAAATGTGAAAATTAGTAAGACTTACAATAAATTCTTGACTTTCCATTGTTTCTTCTGAAGTGAAAAACCAGTACAGTCCAGAAAATGAGTAATTATTCAACTTTTTCACCTAAAATTAAAAACAGCATACAATATTCAACCCTGATAAAAAGAATAAGTATCAAATCCAAATTTCCCCAATAAACTCTTGCCTGGAGACAGAAACCTGACAGTTCTAAGACTATCTTAACTACCCAGGGAAGTAGGTATAATCCACAGAGGACACTGTAAGAGTGATACCAGGCCGTAGAAAAGTTGCCAGAGAGAGAAAACTAAGTAAAATATATAAACTAATGAAGACCTGGCAAACATTTTTCCAGACGCCATCACATGCATCAGAAAATGTATTTGTCCTTCCACTTGTTTGGTTCCTTACAGCACAAATTCAACTTTTTGTTTTCTGAATTGCTATATCCACCACAAGATGGCCCCCTTGTGTTTTAAATTCTTCCTTCTACAATTCCTCCTTATCCACAAGTATTCCTAGTGGACTGTTTGCAGTTTTCTGTTTCCTGCACAGGAAAATCTGTGGATGCTGAAGTCCCTATCTAAAATGATGTCATTTTTGTATATGACCTACACACATCTGTACATATTCCTATATTGTTTAAATCATCTCCAGAGTACTTATAATACCTAATACAATATAAATGATATGCAAATAGTTGTTAAACTGCATTGTTTAGGGAATCACAAGAAAAGTCTATACATATTCACTGCGGCCACAAATTTTTTTCCAAATATTTTCATCCTACTATTGGTGAATCCATAGATGCAAAATCCCTGGATACAGAGGATTGACTGCACACCTTAAAGTCAATATAATATAGTATCCCAGCACCAAATACACATTACATAATAGGTCTGTAAGGGAAAATCTTTTCAAAACTGTTGAAGCAGCTACTGTAGTCATCCTATACTACTGGATAAAATTATGTGGGCAGATTTGGAAGTCTAAAATCACTAATGGTGAAGTGAAGAAACAGAGATGCCAAAAAAAAGTGTATGTACCTATATACACATTTTTTTTTTCTAAAGTGATTCTAAAGGATATGCCTCCCCTAGACCAACAACATACCTAGGAACTATTTAGAAATGAAATTTTGGGTTCCCACTCTTGACCTATTGAATCAAAGTCCAGGGTTGGGGCCCTGCTCAAGTTGCAGAACATGGCCCTAGAAAACTTAGAGGAAGTCAATAAAACTATAATTTGTTACAGTTAGTATATACTAACAAAAGAAAGAATAAAACTGTAATTTTGATTCTGGGCTGAGTTCCCCCTTTATGCCTATGATCATTACTTGTATATTTTATATATTTGTGCTGTACTTTCTAAATTCCAGGCATTGTGCTAGCCAAGATGTTAAATGAATGAAATGCTATTCCTGATTCAAAGGAATTGTCAGTAAAGTGGAATGATTAACAATAATTACAATAAAACATTACAAAAACAAGCACAATAGGTATCCAACTTAGTCTAGGATATTAAGGAAGCAAGGTCTAACTGTAAACTGAAATAACCATTAACCAAGGCAAGACAGGAGTGAAGACTCAGCCCAATAGGGAAACTCCAAGTAGGACAGGCAAGGCATGAAGTGCTAGACAGTGAGTGGGGGAGAGAACAGGCTACAGAAATCAGTAATTGGGTAGAAAACCTATGTTATGTTGAGGAGTACAGACTTTCCATAAAGACAGTAGGAAGCCATGATGGGATTTTTAAGAATAAAATGACATAATAAGATGACCTGGTTATTTTACAAAGATCACTCTGGCTGCTGACTGGATAAAGGATGGGCGAAAGGTAGGCAAATGAGATATGGATGATTACTGGAGAACACTGGTCACAAGACAGGACCTACCTATAAAGGTATTACCTTTCAGAAATGTAACTCTTCCTCTATCTCTCTTCTTCAATATACAGGAATTGTCAGAGGCCTAAGAATGCCAAAAAGATAAAAGAGTTTCAGAGAAGCACATCATCCCTGGTGCTTTTGGAGCAACTTGCTACCTAAAACAGAATGGGGTGTACATGAGAAAATATATAGTATAGACACAGTGCTTGGCAGTGATTAATATTAGATTTTGGGGGTTTTGTTGGTTTTTTTTTTTTTTACTGCAGTACTGTGAATGGAAACCAGGTCCTTGCATATGACAGGCAAACACTCTACCACTGAACTACATCTCCATGCTTTGATGTCTGACAGTCTAGATTTGTAGCTCAGGCTACCCTCCTTAGTGCTGAAATTACAGGCATAAACCACTAGCTGGCTAATATTAGACATCATTATGTGTAGACACAGTGCTTGGCATATGGCAATTATTAATATTAGCTTTCTTTAATAGTAGTTATCATTTATTCAGTGCAACTATATGCTTCAAACTGTTAAAATGCTTTAAACACTTATAACCTTACAATATAGATACTATTTTTACGTCCACTTAACAAAAGAAGAAACTGAGATATAATAGTTATGTAACTATTATAAAGTAAATAACTGACAGGTTCAAAATTCAAAACTAAGTTGTATAAACTCTGGTGCTCAAACTCACAAATGTAGTACAGCTGTGTATTAATTATCTACTACATGTCAGACAGGAATTGGCTACATTGTTACATCAATTTACCAGTCTCATAATCCTGAGATTAGGAGCTGAGAGTGTAACTCAGTGTTAGAGCTAGTGTTTAGAATTTGTATGGCCTTGGGTTCAATCCCCAACACCAAGAAAAAAAAAAAAAAAGGTAGGTATTATCTATGGTTTACAGATTAGGGTTACAGATTTACTAATTTAGGATTACTTACATGCTATTTAGGATTTTCAAAATAAATTCCTCATTAGTCTCCTAAATTAGAGATATTACTTCTAGAACTGAGAGGGCTGGAGGCATGGCTCAAGTGGAAGAGCACCTGCCTAGTGAGAGCAAGGCCCTGAAGTCAAACCCCAGTATTGCCTAAATAAATTGTTATTTAAAAAAAAAAAAAGGTAGTGTGCCTGCTTTGCAAGCACAAAGTCCTGAATTTAAACCCCAGTCCCACCAAAGGAAGAGACACTGAGAAAGTTCAAACTCTAAAACATAATAAATTCGATAACAGGATTAAACCTGTTAAAAAATTAAATTTAAAATAAAAGCCAGGGCTGGAGGAGTGGCTCAAGTGGTAGAATGCCTGTCTCGCAAGCATGAGGCCCTGAGTTCAAACCCCAGTTCTACCCAAAAAAAAAAAAAGTATGTATACATATAAAATAAAATAAAAGCCAGCTGAGGGCTGCTAAATGGTCATACACACACCAGTCAAGTACTTTAACAATAAGTCACATCCCTAATTCCATCCCCCTCCTTTTTTTTTTGTGGCAGTGCCGAAGTTCAAACCCAGGTCCTCAAGCATGTAGGCAAGCCTTCTACCACTAAGCTCCATCCCCAACCCCTCTTTTCTTATCTTACCACTAAACAAGAAAAATGGTTTTAGCCAATGGCATCATACGTTTTAAGTGTGAGTATATGTGTGTGTGTGTGTATATATATATATGTATAATTCAGTAAAACATGAGTCATTCTTCCTGTTAATTATGACGAGATACTTTTGGCCCTTTGGTTTTTGAACAAGAATATTTTGAACCTAAACCTGAACCCGTAAATGGCTCAGATTGAAAAATTTCAAAGAATGCAAGAGGTGGTGCACGTCTGTAATCCCAGCACTGGGGAGGTGGAGAGAGGCAGGAGAATCGCGAGTTTGAAACCAGTCTTGACTCCATTGTGAGACTCTGCCTCAAAAACCCCAAAGTTTCAGAGGCTGTGGGTATAGCTCAGTGGTGTAGCATTTGCCTAGCATGCATTAGGCTCTGTCGCAAAAATTAAATAAATAGAAAACTTTCAGAGGCACAAACTCAACATCCTGTTAAGAAATCATCTCGTCCAAATAACCAAAAGAAACCTCAAACTGCATCTGCCAAGATTCCATAGCCAACATTCTGTGTCACCAAATGACACTCGATCATTCGTCAGCCCTAAAAACAAACAAGAAAATTCTGTGTGGTCCTCAGACTACGGAGAATTGCAAAAAGGAGCTAAGAAAAGCCGTAAAGATGAGGTAGGGTTTATTACAGGCCGCCGGAGTAGGCTGACAGCTAGCTCGGTTCCAAACAGCATCCTTCCGGTCCGCTTCGTGTGGAGCAAATCCTTTCATGCCTTCTCTCCAAATCGCTCAAGTCCCCCTGCCTGGCCACCCTCGGAAACCTGAAAAATACTTCACCTGTCCCACTGCACAAAATCCACTTTCGAATTTCTCCCGCGAACGAGTGTGACGTCACTAACCTGCGACCCCACCAGAGGAGGACCCGCTACCTTACCCCTCCCACCACCCCTCAGCCTGAACCGCCGTTTTTTCAGGCCGCCAATCAGATTCTTCCTGAGGGGTCGAGCCTCCCCCAGTCGTAGCCCTCTCCCGTGACGTCTGCGGCGGACGCACAACCTCCGATCTTTCTGCGGGGGGACCCGAGAACGGTGTCGCTCATCGTATGACGCGAAATAACCACGACTATAAGGACCGGGAAACGGAAAGGGCTGAAGGACGCAGTCTCTGACCCTGTATTTTGGGCATTGGACGGAGTAAGTTACGGGTGGCCTGTAGGGTCACTCAGGTTATATGAAGTCTTCCTCTTGGTCTTTCTTGCACACAGTCTTATTTTATCTGGTCATCTCCACCCCGGCCCCTCCCAGGAACCCATCAGTGCGCCAGGTCTGGTTTTCAACGCGCACGCGCAGAAGTCCTGACGGCCCTTGTAGTTTCGGATTTCCGACGGAGGGGGGTAGCGCCCGGTGTTGGGAGGCTCGGGCACGCCCCACGTTTGGAGGCCGTGCGGAAGTACGGGTGCCGGGAGGGCAGGGGGGAAAGTGCGTTTCCGCAGATTGGAGTTGAGGTTCGGCTGCGGAAAGACAGCGACAGTGAGCGCTAGGTTGAGTCATTTTCTTTTACAAGACTCTGGGTCTTCCAGAAAGTTGGAAATACACTTACAGAAAGTAAACTAACACAGTGAGCGATAAATATGGCATATCGAGGTCGTTGATGGAAGTAGACTACAGAGGCTAAGACCATTTAGCCTCTGGAAATTGAGTAGGGGTTCATAAGACAGCTTGACTCCAAGACTCAATCAAGGCGAAACTATTAACATTCATGTGTGTATCTACTTTTTGAATTCTTCTTTAAATTGGTTTGTAGCACTTCCCTGGTTCTTTCATTAATAACTTAAATTTTTATCATGTATTCAGGTACAAGCAATATGATTTTACCTTTTATTTAAAATCTATCATTTAACCACTTCATGGAGTTCGCAAGAATTCTTCAAACACACCAGACAGAGTTCCAAAACAGTTTAGAATTCCTGATCAGTTCAAATGGGATGGCGCACCCCTGTAATTCCAACACTTGGGAGACTGAAGCGGAATGATTGGGAGTTTGAGGCCAGCCTAGGATACATAAGGAGACCCTGTCTCAAAAGAATTCCTAGGTCAGAATATAGCGTGCATGGTGACAAATTGCAGTAGGTTCTATTAAAAGGTAGGCAGTGTGTGCAAGTCAGTCACACCAGGAATCCCGCAATTAGATTTGGCCAATTTACTAAACCTTTCAGCTCCTTTAAAAGAAGGTGTAAGAAACTACATGGTGGGATTGTGAAAATTTGGAACAATGTATGTAAAGTAATTGGCATTGTTAACATGGTAACGTTTATTCTTTCTTTAAAGCCCATGTTTCAAAGGTATTGCTGGTTTATTTAACAATATTTTTAATACATATCAGGTTAAAGAAAAGTGCTGAGGGGTTTCTAATATTGCCAAGTTTTGTCATCAGCATCACAAATCAGATCTGTGTTTTAGACAAGCTACACTTAGGCTTTCTGTGATAGGTGAATCACTTGGAGAAAGGGTTATAAACTGTCATCATATTCTAGTGACAGTTAGAGAAAACACTCAATGGAGATGAGAGCCATTACAAAGAGCAAGTTGGCAGGACTTAGTAACGGATTGGTGAATAATAATATGGTTACATATTACTGAGTATCTTTTCTATAGCAGCAATTTTAAGCACTTTACTTATATTGTTTTGATTTATCCTCACAGCAACCCTGTTATGTAGGTCTGATTTTTAATCCACATTTTATGAAGCAGAGAGATGAGGTAACTTGCTCAAAATCCATACAACTAGTAAATAGCTTGCTTGGTTAACTTGCTAGAATATAACATCCTTAAATAATATGAGGATGGTAGGAAGAAAAGGCCTTGGTAGGAAAAATAATAAATTTGATCTGGAATGTATAGAATGACACATTATCACAGGACCTTAAGAAAATACAAACTTTGAACATCAAGACTATAACAAAAATATTCCGTGTAACTTACTGATTTTCTGCAGGCATTGTGTAAGGATACTAAGTTGTTTCTTATCTTATGTGGCTTTCTGTTTAATCCATATTTCCCTTTAAATCTAAGGTATATTTTATCATTCTTAATTTAAGTACTCCAAGCCACAAAAATAATCCTTAGGAAAAGAATGAAGGGAGTGTAAGCACATAACTCCAGTCCCACCAAAAAAATAAATAAATAGTAATTTTAAAAAGCCAGGCGCTTATTGCCCATGCCTGTAAATCCTAGCTATTCAGGAGGCAGAGATTAGCAGGATCGTGGTTCAAAGCCAGCCAGGGCAAATAGTTCCCAAGACCCTATCTTGAAAAAAAATCCATCACACAAAAGGGCTGGTGGAATGGCTGAAGGTGTAGGCACTCAGTAAAAAAACATAGCACCATAAAAAAAGAAAAGAAGACTGAAAGAGGGTCTCTGGGGTGAGATACAAGAATGATGGGGAAAGTCTGGTTTCTGGGAGAATTGTGACTTTGTGTTGTTGCAGCTTTTGTGTTTGAGTTGTTGCACCATTCTTAAATGGTGGGCATAGAAAGGAAAAGAATTGGCTGGCCACCAGTGGCTCATACCTGTAATCTTTAGCTACTTGGGAGGCTAAGATCAGAAGAATCAGGTTCAAGGCCAGCCAGGCAAATAGTTCTGGAGACACAATCTCTAAAAAAATGAGAGCAAAAATGAACTGGAGGCATAGCTGTAGAGTACCTGCTTTGCAAGTGTGAAGCCCTGAGTTCAAACTCCAGTCCCACCCTAAAAAAAAAAAAAAAAAAGAATTGAAAAGTAGTCCTGCCCTTTATAATTTACAGTCAACAGTGGAACCTGCTGTAGTGATAATTGTAGCCTATCATTATGTTTTATTTATATCCCACAACCTTACAAGGTAATTTGAAAAGCTTCCCCTTATTGGTACTTTCAAAGCCACTGTGGCTAGAACTGAGGGAAGCACAGGGGAGAAGGTTGTATGTAAATTGCTGTCTAAGTAATAATAAATGCCAACATGCCAAGGCAACATGTAAAAGAATAACCTTTAGATGAAGACTAACTTAGTGACTATATGTATGCCAGTTCTTTTAAACAAGTGAAAATTGAAGAAACCGACAAGACCAGTGTAATTTTCTTGATACTTGCCCATTAACTTAAGCAATTAAGATTAAATATAAATATTACTTATGGTATTTTGTCTCGCAGAATGGAAGCAGAAAAGACTGAAAGTACTGAAAAGAAAAAAGAAGTAGAAAAAAAGAAAAGGTCTAGAGTTAAACAGGTGCTTGCAGATATTGCTAAGCAAGTGGACTTCTGGTTTGGGGATGCAAATCTTCACAAGGATAGATTTCTACGAGAGCAGATAGAAAAATCTCGAGATGGATGTAAGTTTACTTCAATATATGTTCATGTCTGACCTCCATAGCCTGTGGAGTGTACCACTAGTACACTTTATATTATTTTGGTAAACTACAAATTGCTAGACAAAAAACATGTTCGTTCCATCATGCTGAAATCACCAGTTTAATCCTTTAACCTTTTTTTACTAGATGTTGATATATCACTTCTGGTATCCTTTAACAAAATGAAAAAGTTGACAACTGATGGAAAGTTAATAGCTAGAGCACTGAAAAGCTCAGCTGTTGTAGAGGTATGCTGTTCCACAACTATCACTTATTTTTTATTTATGCTTATAACTATTTTATAGTTGTATACCACAACTTTATTAACTATTTTACTAACTTAAATGTTGTAAAGCTGGATTTAGAGGGCACCAGAATCAGGAGAAAAAAGCCCCTGGGTGAAAGACCAAAGGATGAGGATGAACGCACAGTGTATGTGGTAAGCTCCCAGCCCAGTCTTCAAATAAAACATGGAACAAGTTTTACTTTTTAAAGTTTTATTTTTTCCCCAAGTACTGACATACTTAATGCTACTAATTTCATTTACCATAGGAGTTACTTCCCAAAAATGTTAACCACAGCTGGATTGAAAGAGTATTTGGGAAATGTGGTAATGTGGTTTATGTAAGTATACCACATTACAAGTCTACTGGAGATCCAAAGGGATTTGCCTTTGTGGAATTTGAAACAAAAGAACAAGCAGCAAAAGCTATTGAGGTAGGTCCGGTCCTAAGAAAAATAAACCAAGGACAAAATTGTCAGGTCATTGTCAAAATATGAAAACTTTTGCAATCATTCCAGTTTCTTAACAACCCACCAGAGGAAGCTCCAAGAAAACCCGGCATTTTCCCCAAGACAGTGAAAAATAAACCCATTCCAACATTGAGAGTAGCTGGTGAGTAATATTTGTGATAACATTCATAAAATATTTGTAGTTCAAGCATAATAAAATAAAATGACATTGTTACAGAAGAAAAGAGAAAGAAGAAGAAGAAGAAAGTGCGAGTAAAGAAGGAAGACAATTTGGAGACTAAAGAGTTAAACATGGACACAACAAGCAACATTAGTGTCTGTAAAATAAAAAGATCAAGAACTGGGTCTGAGGGCTCTGAAGGAGAAACACCTGAACCCCCAAAACAACCCGCAAAGAAAAAGAAAAAACGAGATAGAAGTGAAATGTCCAGCTTACCTGAAGTCAGAACAGGAAAGAGGAAGAGAAGCAGCTCTGAAGATGCAGAATGCCTAGCTCCCAGATCCAAAGCAAAGAAAACAGCTCAGAAAGACAGCATTAAAAAAGAAGTTTCAGAAGTATCTAAAGAAAGCAGAGGTATAACAAACATTAGGAATTAGATATGGGTATATGTTCCAACCAGTTCAAAATCAGATATTTTAACTGGATTTTTTTTCTCTAGATTTAGAGTTCTCTACAGAAGAGGAAAAGGATACTGGAGATATGAAAGAAGGTTCTCTACTAAAAGCAAAAAGGAAGCACAAGAAAAAACATAAGGAGAGACATAAAATGGGAGAAGAGGTCATACCATTGAGGGTATTATCCAAGTAAGTACAGTTGTCAGTGGCAGTTGACAGCAGTCCATCACCATTGCTAAAGTGCAATTCCAGTTTATAATCAACAGAGTTGCATATTAGCAACAGTGATGGCTTACAGTCCATCACTGACTATGTAGGTTCAACATTTGAAGATTAAGTAGGAGCCACCACACTCAAACATGGAAGCACTTATTTTATCAAATCATAGCAAGTGCCTCCAGGTTAAAGTAAAGGGGGCCCCTCAACAGCTGTCAATTACATCCTTAAAGGCTTCTTAAAAACGTAAAAGGAAAACTTACCATCACCAAAACATGGAAGCACTTACTTTTTAAGTTCCAAAGCAAGTACATCCACGTTTAAGTGGTGGGGAGCCCAGTCTTGGTTGAATTCCTTTAACCTGAAATTCCAACAAAAAGTCTAACAGCAAGCTTCAAAAAAATGCTATTGTTCCGTGCTGGAGACACCTCCACTGAAACATGGAAGCACTTACTTTCATTTCACACAGCAGGTACCCCCATGTTAAAGCAAAGGGGACCCCTTGAGTCTCAAGAGGTTAGCATGTTGCATTCCAAGGAGTAAGTCGAATTCACTTCTACTAAAACATGGAAGCACTTACTCTTTCTTGAAAGGCACAGAAAGCACGCCCATGTTAAAGTTGAAGGGAGTCCACCTGAAAAAAACACACTGGATATCTGAGGGAAAAGCCCTAAATGGCCTACTTCAGAAATCTTCCTTTACCTTCCTGGACTTACTTGCAAACAGTCCTGTTCTCTTCTTGAAGTGTGAAAAGCAGACCTCTGGTACTTCTATTTATACTATTCTTAACTCGAGAATTCCTTTTGCGTTTTATCTCAGAGAATCATTACAGGAGCCTTTTGTTATTTTAATGTCTCAGCTCTCGGAGAAAGTATGATCCTGGGTGGGTCTGGATACTGGTTTGTTTTTTTGGGTTTTTTTTTGAAGTATACAGATGTCAATGTTAACTGCTAAAACCATTACCACTAGATATCCTACTCTTTAAAAAAAAAAAAAAAAAAGACCTCTATCTGCTTGTTTGATGGGCACAGATTAAGGTAACAATGAGTGCTCCCACAGAGCCCAGAAATGTATTGTCTTTCTATTGGGGGGAGCTCTAGGTGTTTGGAGAAACATCTACATGTTAAACGTATGTAAATAAATAAATTGCTTCCATGGGGTGTTTTTTTCTTCTCAGAAATTCCTTTTGATTCAAGTAAATCCTAAGGAATTTTATCTTTAAAACTGGAAGCAGTTTAACAAATAATCTTTAAATGTTAATCTCTCTTTTTTTTTCCCAAAAATGACTGATCTGATAAATGCTAGTAGTTAATTAAGGAATTAACTTAAAAGTTTTGCTTTTTAAATGAAAATTTCTGAAATATACTCAGAAATTTAATTGGGAAATTTAAAACATTTAATTTGAATTTTGGGGCAAGAGGAATTGCCTTTGCTTGTTTGCTACATGAATTTAGGAATTAAATAATTTCGATGCTTTTAAAGAAAGGAAAGGTGAGAGAAGTGTGTTTAGAAGTCACTGGAATGCATATGTTTAGATTAATTTCTCCGTTTACTTTTATTGAGTCATCTGTTTTCACTATTTCAGTAGTTTATTTTTTGTCTTACAGGAGTGAATGGATGGATTTGAAGAAAGAGTATTTGGCACTGCAAAAAGCCAGCATGGCTTCTTTAAAAAAAACAATATCCCAAATAAAATCGGAGTCAGAAATGGAAACAGACACTGGAGTACCTAATAAGGCTGGAATAAAAAGTGAAAAAGGTAAAGATTACCATGATGTACTTAAGATGTGTGATTTGTTCTAATGAATAATTGGGGGCTGTGAATGTTAACTCAGTGATAAGAGTGCTTACCTAGCATGCCTGATGTCCTGGGTTTGATCTCCACCACTGGAAAAAGAGAAGAAGAAAGAATTATTTGAAGAGCTCATTTTAAACAGTATCTTTTTTAATAACGTAAGTTTTCCCAAAACTCTTCTAAGAGTAACACTTGTATTCAGAGTAATAAAGTTTCATCTTATTTCCTGGTAACATGAAATAATTCATTATTTGCTTTTAAATTACACATTTTAAATTAACTACTTAAATCAGCCTATGAAATGACTGTTGTGCTAGAGTGATACTCTTAAGTGTTAAATTGTTAAGTGTGGGAGATTCATTCCTTGTCATTACTGCTTCAAACCCACAGCCAACAATCAAGAGTGTCGCTCTATGGAGAACACAGGACCACAGTTTGTGAGTGGAGTGATTGTGAAGATCATTAGCACAGAACCTCTACCTGGCAGGAAACTAGTCCGGGTAATACTTTTGAGTCCTACAGTATTGGTCACCCCTTCTTGTTTTCTTGTTTTATTAACTTCCCTGTGTGAAAATACGTTTTGAATATACTATGGAAAACAAATCAAATTAGAATTTAAGCCACTGTGAGAAACTAACTGTAGAGCTGATTCGATGGTAACCTTTAACCCCGAAGACTGAAATTCCTCAGCAAATCAGATTTGCCGTGATTGGTCTAAACATGCTTGTATCCCTGATGCTTCATCATTGTGTAGTTGAATGGGTAAATAATACACTATAGGTATTCTAGCTATAGCAGTAGGTGAAGTAAAGTGCTTACTCAATACTTTTTAATTTTTTTATTAGGATATATTTGTTGTACAGCAGGAGATTCATTGTGACAATTCTAAATAGGCTTATATTGTACATTGGCCCCTACCTTGCCCTCCCCTCTTAACCTTTCCCCGCCCCACTTTAAGCAATTGTAAGAGGTCTTTGTTCTACTCAATGCTTTTTAAAAGACTTTATTTTCAGTGAAAGGTTTTAGGAAGATATTTGGCAGGTTTTTTTTTTTTTTTGATGATTTAATTAGCATTAGCATTAGTCTGATTTTTTTAAATTACAATCATCACATATTGTCTGGTTTTGAAGCAAGCTGGAGAATTTATGAATATGTATTCATTAGTATTCTTAAGTTGTCAGTAGGTTCCTATATGGTTTTGTTACTTACTGAAAAGTCAATACTACTATTATGGAATAAAAATAATATATATATTTTTACTTACTGTGGATTTTGATTGTTTTTCTTTGTTAACAAATTATTTTTGGAAATTGAACTTTTTTTCCTGAAAGAAATATGGGAGTTTTTATAGGAAGTAGTCTTTTAATTTTTAAGAAAACTTTAGTATTTTAAACCTATGCTAATTGTTTAAAATCTTTCAATTATAGAAAAGTATACAATATTTTTTTAAACTACAGAAATTTTACATTCTTTTATAATGACACTCAGTAATATGTTGGTATGGTTTTATATAGATCCCTACAAATCACGTTTTTTAACTTAAAAAAACATTCAGGTGGATTTTTACTGTAAGGATATGTAAGTACCCTTAAAATTCTGTAGCTGTCGCTGAGGTGTAAATTTTGTTTGTCTTTCCAAAACTCATGAGGAAATTAGCCAATCCCAACTGCTATTGTGGTAATAATATGAAATTTAGGATAATAGGCTAAAAAAATTGAGATATAAGTAAATGCTTTGCATACACAACACCCTGGGTTCAATCCCCAGCACTAAGAGGAAAAAATTAGAGTTTAATCATTAAAATCAGAAAATTGCATTAATCAAGTTAATACTTACATTTTCCTGGGAAAAAAAAACTGAGCTATGTTGATTACTGCTGTGACTTGCCCCTATGATTACCATAATTTGTCATTGTAGGGTTTTTAAATTCTAAGGTCCGTAAATCGGGAGATTAGCCTGACATTATAATGGATATTTAGTAAATATCTTTTGAGTTGTAGTTTTCTAATCTATATTTAAAAAATCAGTTATAAAACTCCACAACCAGTGACTGCATTCAAAGTTCATCAGCTTATTACTTAGTATCTAAATTTAGTACTATTAACTGGATAAAGAAACAGAAAGAATTGGTTTCTGAGAGGAATACACTCAGTTCTCTTATTTTTTTCTCTTTATTGATTCAGCAAACATTTCGTTAGTGCCTTGTTTGGGGGTAGACAGACCAAACTTTAGCTTCAAGAGACTCACAGATTTTTTTTAACTATGTATTCCTTATTAACTAATAAACTTCTCTTAATCTACAATGATATAGTATTTCCAGATAGTGTTCAGCTTTCATTTTTCAAATACCTTGAAATTCAATATTTAAGAGTAATCTAACTTAGTTGTATCTTGAAAATTTGGGTCTTGAAAATAAGGGAGGCCAGATAAATGAGACTTTTTCTTTTCTCCAGTTGGAAATCTCTTCTTTCTTTAGCTTTATGAATGAAATTGATTAATTAAGAATTAGTGTAACATTCCTGCATAAATGCATTGTATACTCCGTATAACCTGCTGTGAAAAAAAATGATTAAGAATGCAGGAATTTTGTTAATTTACCTTCACAGCAGGCATTCTAGGCAAAACTTTTTCCTTGCTGGGTGACCTCCACTTGTTTAGAAGTTACTTTGGTATTTACCAAAAACTGTGAGCTCTTGAGCTGTGTTCCAGTAGATCTTCCAAAGAGCCCTATGGTTTTTGTAGAGTTGATGAAAGTTACTTTTGTGAGTTGTTAAAAAAAGTTGAAAAATATGTTACATTTTTTGTCCTAAGTCACATACAGGTAAGTAAAAATAAGCCTCCCGAAAATCCTATCTTTCCTCTCTTTTAATTATTCCATATACTAGCTACTTCTAGACTGTTTTGTATATTCTTCTCTACAAACACATTGTCCTTAATGAAATATTTGCATTCTGGTTCATATTTTAAGCATATGGCTTAAAGAAAACAAAGGAAAGTAAATTGTAACTAGAGTTGATGTCCAAATCTGTTTTTAACAACATTTCTGTTTTCTTAGAACAAATGTTTGTTATATTAACTCAATATTTTACGTAGTGGCTTATTCATTTAATGTATTATTATAACTACTGGAATTATTTTAGATTTATCAATTATGAAATACCTTGATTATTGATTTTAGGTCTTTATACTTAATTCCAATGCAGGATACTTTGACCACAATCTCAGAGGTCGTTTACGTTGATTTGTTAGAAGGAGACACAGAATGCCATGCAAGGTTTAAAACTCCTGAGGATGCTCAAGCGGTATTAAGTGCGCACACTGAAATTAAAAAGAAGCACTGCTGGACACTCGAGGTCCTTTCTGGTAAAACTTAACTAGAAATTTTTCTTAAGTATTATCGTGGGTTATTGTTTTTGGCTTTTCTGAGTTTAACTAATAGAGCTAAATTTTTTTCCCTCAACTATTCTACTTCTATTACTGAGATTGGATTTTTTTTTTCATATGTATCCTTACATTCAGCAATCATAGCTTTTGTTTGTTTTTAAGGTGATCATGAACAGAGGTATTGGCAGAAGATTTTGGTAGATAGACAAGCCAAACTTAACCAGCCCCGGGAAAAGAAAAGGGGCACCGAGAAGGTAATTAATTCATTTTTGTTTTGTACCGTAATCTTTTCGAAAGTTAAATATTTTGTGAAAATCAGTATTAATTGATAATAAAATAACTTTGGTTTTGCTATTATATAACAAAGATTTTCACAAGACAGTATTTTAGATTTAGAGGGTTTACACATTTCTCTTGGCTTCAAAAGGCATGAAATTAAAATTATTTTTCCCACAAGGGTCCATAATTTAGTTTTCCCTTTTTTTTAAAGCAGTTACATATCAAGTCTTGATATTGGGCTACTATGTTTTGTAGTTTGGGTAAATGATTTAGAAAGATTGCCTTAATAATAAAACCACACCATATATTCAGAGTATAGTTTATAAAAGTAGGAGGCGCCACAGATAAGATTAACTATACCCTTAATGTCACTTGTAGCAATGATAAACTTTATTCCTGTCTTCTCCAGAATAGTCAACAGGTTATACAATCAAACTCAAAGCAACCTTCTCTTTCAATAATTACTTTTGATATAATTAAACTGGTACGGACAATGTATAATTTCTTCCTAGCAAGCTATGGAGTTTGTTTGAAAACTTTATTCTTGTGTACATTGATACAGTTAAAGTACTCAGGACAAAGTAGGGTACATAATGACTAATAACTATCATCAAAATTTAGAAATGGATTATGGAAGTCTGAGGAAAACCTGGAAAGATATGAATCCTTTATGTTTGGTGAGGACTTTGGAAGTCAAACTTCACATATTCTAGGCTTGTTCATTTCATGTCTGTGTTTTTTAACTTAAAATTGAGGGGCTTTTTTGCTGTTGGGATTTTTTTATTTTGTTTTGTTTTCTTTTTTTTTTTTTCCATCAGCCATCCATTGTCTCCCATTCATTGGAATTTATGATAATTTAGTGGGTGGATTCCTACTGGTCTTTGTTAATTTTGTTCTCTTTAATGAAGACCAACTTTGCTGTAATGGGGAGGACTTCTTCCTTCCTAAAGACTTTCAGGTTTTGAAGGTGTTAATTTCAAAGCCTGTTTGTGGTTGTTTGAATGTTAAAATCCTTAATCCTGAAGCTATTACTTCAGTGCAGTCAGTTTTGTTTAATAATACTTACCCTGCTAATTGGTGTGAAATGTCCCTTAAAACCAGGAATTAAAAAAATCATTTGTTTTAAGTAGAAACTGCTGAAGCTGTGAAAGTGTAGCTAGTTGGCACACTGATCTATAAGAAGTTACTGCAAAAAAAAAAAAAAAGTTACTGCAGACAGTAAATGCTGTACAAGGCTTGTTAAAGGAGAAGAGTTGACCATAGTTGGCCTACTTGCATGCTAATTAACTCCAAAACTAAAATTTTTCTGGTGATTGAGCTTTTGGGAGCCTAGCAGTGTGGTAAATGGCTATAATCCCAGTTATTCCAGGTGCTGCAGGATCTGTTTGGATAAAAAAAAAAAAAAAGGAAGCTTTTGGGAATATTTCAAACATTTTATTCCCAGCACCATTTATGAAAGAAATTGTCCTTTCTCCAATGTATGTTTTTGGTATCTCTTACCAGTAATCAGTTAACTATAAACATATGGGTTCTCTATTCTGTTCTGTTGGTTGGTGTTTCAGTTTATATGCTAGTACTATGCCGTTTTGGTTATTGTACCTTTGAAGTATATTTTTTAATCTGTTCTCTATCTCTAAGAATTTTGTGTTGGGAGTCTGAACATCTTTCTTCTCGTTCTTCCTTTTTGAGGGGATGGGGGAGATAGGTCTCAACTCATGGATCTTCCTATCTCAACCTTCAAGGTTTTGAGATTATATGCGTGGGCCACCCCTTCTGGTTCTTAATGTAACATGTAATAAATTGTGATAAACTGTAATACAAAAGTAATCCTACTGTACTATAGAACACTAGCACTACCCCTCCTGTAAATAATGTGTAAACACTCAGCCCAGAAATACCGTCTCATTTGAATAATACTAAATCCTCAAGCACAATATAACTAAGGACTACATATCATTTAAGTAGTTCCTGGGGTAGTTAATATCCCAAGTCCAAGAGGATATGAAACAACAAATACATGTCCTGATTATTCGTAAGGGAAGAAATTACCACTGAGGAGTGACTTTTTAAGTAATGTATAACTTCGGTGGGGGAAGGGGGAGAGGGGAAGATAGATAATCCAAGGCTTCATGAGCCATAATCTGAACAGTTTTCTCTGTAATTGATTTGACATAAGCATAATTACCTCATTTGTCTTCTCTCCCCCATCCTTAAAAATTTTATTCAAACTAATAGTTATAAAATTTTTGTAGTTATAATTATTTTTGTTTTGGAATATCCCATTCAGATTTCTCATTTCTTTCTTTATAGTTAATCACCAAAGCTGAAAAGATTAGACTGGCAAAGACTCAACAAGCAAGTCAACACATTAGATTTTCTGAATATGATTGAAAAAAATTATACTTCACTGGATACTTGAGCAATTCTTAGGAAATTCATTTTTATTATGGTATACAGTGTGATGAATGTTTTTTCTAAAATCAATATTTAATCAAAAGAAATACCTTTGGTCCTCAATTTGTATAAGACTTTTTCTAGAGACCAAGTACATTGTGCATACCACAGGTTTTTCATTAAATATTTTACCTGTTGAAGTTATGTAAGTCAGCCTTAAGTGATTTCTTAAATAAATGTGTTTTGAACATTATTGTTCATTTTGTTTTTATTACAAAATCAATACATATTTGCAAAAATGAAGGTACCTGAGTATAAAATTTAGAAAAATGTAGTAGATTCACAGTTTTATTTTGTAACTTTCTCAGAAATATCTTGGCTATCTCTTCATGTTGATGCATGCAGACATGTATGTGTAATATTTCATTCCAGTTACTGTTCTTTTCTGATCTGGGCTTCCATTGAATAACAGACCATATGCACTGTTTGTAATTAAAATGTCGACTTTTAAAACTATTGAGTTTGGTTTTTTATAAATATTTTGGTTACATAAAATAAAATGTACCAGATGCTATAAACATGGGGTGAAGAGTCTAGAAATAGCCCTAAGAAAAATTGAGTTTTGTCCTTTTATTCAGGAAAATCACGAGACTAGAGTATTGAAAGAGTTCCCAGAAATTAATTTACAGGGCCTATACTACACTGGCATCTTAGTCTCTTACCCGAATCTCAATAAAGTACTGTGTAGTCTTAGGAATAGCTTTGGCTAGAAGTAGGGAGCTAATTTTACAGCACCTTCTGTGGACTGTGGGAGACCTATAGTCAGGAATCAGCCAGAGATAGGAGATTTGGCTCTTCCTGGTGGGGGGAGGAACAACAGCTGATTATTACCAAAAATAAGGTCCTGGCAAGTTGTCAGTCAGTCACTCACTGTTTTTTTCCCTATGTGAAAGAAAGCTAGCACATACATGCTTATGGAGCAAAAGAAAGATTTAGAAATAGTTGTTGTACCTTAGTAGGATTATAACTAATGGTGTTCCAGCAGATTCAGAATAATGTATATTTTTCAAGAATTCAGTTATACTGGGCACCAGTGGATCATGCCTGTAATCCTAGCTATTCAGGAGGCAGAGATCAGGAGGATCACAGTTGAAAGACAGCCTGGGCAAATAGTTTCAGAGACCCTATCTCAAAAAAGGAAAAAAAAAATCACAAAAAGAAAAAGAAAAGACTAATGAAGTGACTCAAAGTACAGGCCCTGAGTTGAAACCACAGTACTGCAAAAAAAGCAAGAGTTCCGCGTTGTCTCCAATAGTACGGTTTTAAGGCAACACTGGAGATGTTATGATGTACAATTTCAGAAATTCTCTCCTTAGTGTCTTTGGGTGGGGTGGCTTCACACTTGCAAAGTGAGGACTTTACCACTTGAGCCACACCTTCAGTCCATTTTACTATAGTTATTTTGGAGATGGGATCTTGAGAACTGACCTTGAACCTTGACTCTCTCAAGTAGCTAGGATTACTGGAGGTGCAGTTCAAGTGATAGAGTGCCTGCTTTGCAAGCATGAAGCCCTGAGTTCAAACCCCAGTCACACCAAGTAGTTAGGATTACAGGTTTAAGTCACTGTTGCCCAGTTCCTTAGCAGTTTTTAAAACAAGCATTCATTCAACAAATATATTTTGAATATCTGTTTGGACAATGAGCACTTGGGAATTATTAGCGAACAAATACTTTCATGTGGAGATTACATTTCAGCAGCAAATATAGACAAAACACAAAAATAAATCACAAAATGCGCTAGGGGCATTGCTCATGGTAGAGCACTTGTCTAGTATGCTCAAAGCCCTGTGTTCAGTCCCCAATACTGAAAATATAAAAATTCAGCATCAAGATCTCCATGTTTGCTGATATGTGTTGGTGTGTAAGCAGGATAGATTACTGGAATAAAAACTGCTGTGGTCTCCAAACTAATCCAATAATATGTACAAATTGTCACTGCCAGCAACAGCATTTAAGAATTTTTTTTTTCTTTACAAAACTGTCACAAATACAGGATGTTATCAGTCTTTCATTTTTGCTAATCTGGTGAAATGTACCTCATTTTTGCCTAAATGTGCATTTTGCTGTTCATTCGTGAGATTAAATACTTTTCACTGGGTATGGTGAGGCATGCCTGTAAACTCTAGTACCTGGGAGGCAGAGGCAGGAGGATCATGAGTTCAAACTCCAATCTGAGCTGTGTATTGAGTTCAAGGCCAGATTGAGAGGCAGAGAGATCCTATCTCAAAAACTGGACTGGCGGAGTGGCTCAAGCAGTAAGAGAGCCTGCCTAGCAAACATAAGGCCCTGAATTCAAACACCAGTGCTGCCCAAAAAAAACAAAGGGCTAGGGATGTAGTACGGTGGATGCCTAGCATGTTCCAGGTCCTGGGTTCAACAGCCAGTGCCATGAAAACAAATTATCCTCTGCAAATTGCTTTTCTTAATTTTTTTATAGGGTAGATACTTTTTAAATTAATTCTCAGGAGAACATTTTACATTATTAACGTAACTGAAAGTATTTTCTTTCTTGTCCTGAAACTTTGTTTATACTACAAGTATTGCACAGATTTTTATAGAAGTATGTTTTTTAATCTGCTTTTAACAAAATGATTTCCCTTTCTGTGACCTGCAAGTCATGTCATTGCTTCATTTCTTACTCTCTGATGTCCAGAAGCATGGGAGTGTAAGTAGGGCTCTTTCACAAGCAACATGAGGGGCTCTCAATTCTTCTGTAATACCATCTTAATTACAGGAGTGCTTTTCTTACAAAAATCACACATTTTACTTTCTAAAATGCTCTGTGGTAGAGTGCACCACAAGGAAGGAAGGAAGGACAAGAGGGAGGAAGGGAGGGAGGAAGAAAGGGAAAGAGGAAGAAAGAGAAGGAGGGAGGAGAGGAGGGAAGGAAGGAAGGAGAAGAAAGAAAGGAAGGGAAAGGAAGGAGGGAGAGGGAGGGAAGGAAGGAAAGAGGTAGGGAGGGAAAGAAGGAAGGAAGAAGGGAAGGGAGGGAGAGGAATTGAGGAAAGGGAGGATGGGAAGAAAGTAAAAGAAGCCTTGGAAGTATACTATTATAAAAGGGCAGTTGGAATACAAAACTAGGAAGGAGCCAACAGTAAGTTAATACTTTCACTTAAGGCACAAAGAGGCTGTAGCATGCAGCCATACAAGTTATACACTACTGGCAGCATTCACATAGACTACATGTGAATGGTGTACTTCCAGTTGTGTACAGCACAATCCGCACACTGTTTGTGACAGCACAGTGCACAAAGGACTTTGTAGTTAAGACTGTCTACTAAGGAAGGAAACAACTTACCAAGTACCCTTGAGGTCTGAGGCAATCCAAATTTAGAAGCATGATTGCTACTGTGGAGTAATTTCATCATCTAAGAAGGTAGAACCTCACTCAGGGGTGGGAGTTAGAACAGGATTTCAAGTATGGACTCCCTGATGTCTGGAAATAAAGGTCTGTGACTGTCTCATGCTAGTCACACCAATACTTAGAGCAATATTACAAGTATCTATCAAAAGGTTTTAGACTTCCTTGATCTTGACTTCTCGGGGCTTGTCTTAAGAGTTGTATTTGTGCTTTTGATTTTTATTTTTAATCCAACAAGTCAGCTAAAGCTAAACAGTAGGAAAATGGGCAAGGATTCATAGAACCAGGGTTTTTTTTGTTTGTTTGTTTTTTCTTTTTTACAGTGATAGGGGTTGAAGGCAGGGCTTTGCACATGCTAGGCAAGCACTCTACAGAGCTGGATTCACAAGTACTAATGGCCAATAAAAATAACACATACACTCCTTAGTAATCAAGAAAATGAAAATAATGTGAGGCACCCTCCCTGTTTTTGGTCAATTAGATAACATTGCCATTACCCACTATGTAGGGTTGAAGAGTAAAGGCATTACATAATATATTGTTTTATAAATTAGTACTTTATTGAGAGCAAATATCAAAAGAACATATGATACATAGTTCACAGAAAATGAACTACAAAGGATTCTTAAATATGTGAAAATATTTTCAAGCCTCATTCGTAATAGGAGAAACACAAGTTAAAACACTATTTTTTTATTTATTAAATTGGCAAAAATCCCAAGATTTGTAACAGTGTTATTGAGGATCTGAGGAAGCAGCTCTTTCTTGTGTGAATGTTCATTACTTGATAAAAATTTGTTTCATAAATACCTAATCCTTAAAGCATTTCAGTTGTTTTGAAATGAGTAGACTCTGGGATCTGGCAGTATTACATTAGCATATGTATTTCTATCAAGAAGGAGATGACACCTTCGTCATATGCAGCTAGGGTGTGTATAATGGAGCAAGCCAGGTCCTCTCACGTCCATCCGAGCAAGCCAATTGTATAATGCCATGCAAATTTATAAAACAATATTTACAAGCTAGGAATGGTGGCATAAGCCTGTACTCTTCAGCACTCTGCAGCTGAGGCAGGATGGATGATTGGGCATTTGGGACCAGCCTGGGCTGCATAGAGAGTTCCAGGCCACCTCGAGCTACATGTAAGGAGACCCTGTCTCAAAAAACAGCAATGACAAAAAATATATAGATTTTTGTAAGAATCCTATGATTGGAGTTATCTGTAGGTATTGCTTTAGAAACAGTGATACCTCTTTGGAATAATGAAATCCTAAAAATTATAAACTGTTTCTTTAACAATGTAATTAATTTGTAAGGACTCAGAGCTGCACTGTGTAATGCTCATATGACTGGTAAACGCTTGGAATATTCTGTAAGTATAAAATATGTACTGATTTTTTCTTTTTGGTAAACTAGGGTTTGAACTCAAGGCCTTACTCTTGCTAGGCAGGCACTCTACCACTTGATCCACTCTGCCAGCCCTTTTTTTCATGTTGGGTGTTTTTGACATAGGATCTCTCACAAACTATTTGCCTGGGCTGGCTCTGAACCTAGATCCTCCTGATCTCTGCTTCCCAAGTAGCTAGGAGTAGGTGTGAATGCCTGTGCCCGGTTTGTTCTGATTTTTTGAAGACTTGGTAAAATTGTTATTAGATTAATCTTTTTATATCAAACACACAGTAACATGGCT